ACTACATCAACAACTGCCTGCTGGGGCTGGTGACCTGGTTGAAAATCTCCTTTTGTATGGCATTAACAGGAGACAAAAAACAAGGAGCCTGTTTTGTACAAAGACAGATACATAGCGTACATTTCTCCTTTTTCCTGTTGTAGGTAAATCCACCACTAAAATAGGAAAATATCACCTCCAGATTCTATATTTAACCTGTCATAGAAAAATAGTAAGATCTTAGTCTTAAGAAGCCATTTTAGACAAGGGGTATGGGGGGGGGGGGGGGGGGGGGGAATATTACAGTTGACATCACTTTCATTGAAGTATCAATATCATATTACTTAATCCCTGCATATCATATTTGAGCAAAGCTATCAGCTGCCTGTGCAAAACAGTACCACCTTTATTTCAGACTAAAGATAACTGAGCAGCAGAAGAGAGCTTGCCTGAAAGCACTTCAGCTATTTTTACAAGGTATTGCGCACTGGAATGTTATTCAGAATTATAATAATGCTTTTTAGCACCAGAAATGGGAATTGGGCATTGGGCTGATAAACCTGTAAATTAATAATCAATCAGTATCTTAATCTATAGCTGCCTCAGATTCAAGCAAGACCTCTGCATCTTAATGAAACAGCTTCCACAACACACTTCACCCCTCCTCAGCCGAACAGAACAGAAGCTGTGTTTCTTGGAGCAGTCCCCAGGGATCCTCAGGCTGGCACATATGAACTCTTTCTGTCTCTGACGGAGCATATGAGAACTCAGGTATGGGGCTGAAGCAAAATGACAACTATGCAGACTACTAACTTTATACAAGATATGTTTCTGGGGCTATTACACATCAGTCCTGCTTGTCTACAGAAAAGAAACTATTACTGAACTGTGGTGTGAGGTCACAAGCTAGTATACATTTCTATACAGTCAAATTAGCTTAACGTAAAAATGATTACTAATCTATACTAAGATGAGAGTCACAGTGAGAGTTTATGAGAGTCTCGATGTCTGCAATAGGAAGGCAGGACTTAGGCACCTTTCAGTCTTCTATCTCTACCTGAGATTTTTACTTGAAACTGTTCTAATAACTCAATCATTCAACAGAATTTAGCTGTCCTGTTTAATGGACAGCCAGAAGCCGCTTAGTAGCAGAATGACAAGGCAACCAACCTCATAAAACACACTCACGTCCTGAATCAGACTTATGGACACAGAAAGACTGAATTTCAAAATCAAAACTGTTAAGCTAGAATGAATCAGAACATGATGATGCTCGTTTTTTGGGTGGAAGTAGTTAAAAGTATAAAAACATGCTAGAAATACTACCCAAAGATTCATCCAGTGATTAAAAGAAACAAAACAAAACAAAAACCCCTAACTTTTTCTTATGCAGAAGGAACATATACAGCTATAAAGGCAAATTACTTATGTAAAGGCTACTGTAACCTTAAGGCTATAAAATTGTAAACAGACTTTAACATAAGAAGTAACTGATACATGTTGGTTCTCAACCCAAAATAAATCATACTTTTTAGTTAGCCAGATAATAAAATATTGGGACTATTTACACGAAAGTCTCTCTAAAAGACGATGTTGGAAAACAAAATGGTGATAAGTAATTTTTGGATCATAATAATAAACTTAATTTTTCAGTAGTCAGAAACTTAAGCCATCATGCCCTGAAGAAAAACAGGTTGCTCTATGTTTTATTTTCTTATTTTTAGCTAGGACTGATAATAAACTATTCCCTTCCCTTTTGTTTTTATATTGACTTCCAAATTACAAGCAAAGTGGGTTCCACTACAATATTAACAATGTGCGACATACATGACCCTGACTTCTCCAGCTTTTGGAAATGGGAAAGTTACACTCCACAGTTCCATATTAGCTCAAAACAAATACATACACTGGTCAGTTTAACAGTTTGTATTTATATAAACAGCAATCTCTCCATGATAAGTACATATTTAAATTTTGATTAACAGGTACTCTCATAAGCAAACAGTACTAAAAGGAAAATAGCATCCATCTAGGTGTTTTGATCCTTGCATCATAAAGGAAATTTTTGAATCCTTAAGTACAAGAGACATGGGTAAGATTAGCAGGCATTAAATATGTCATTACTCACGTAACAGTTTATCATTATTTTTCAATGTCAGCTTTAAGTGATAGGCTTCGCTTAGTCAGTGACAAATGTGCTGAACTTTGGAAGGATCCGTTTTAGAACCTGGACATCACTGCTTAACTCTTCATCAGTAACTTTAAGAAGTCACAGCAGACAGACTTTGGTCATCTGGGATTCTTAAGTTAAGTAAACCATCACTCCATCACAGGCGGTTTACAAGTGATCTATGTTCTCCCTTGAGGATTACTTCCCTCTCTGAGAAGATGCAGCTTTTTAAAACACTTTCTGTCATGACACAAAGCAGGAACTACCCTATCTGCACTCTGACACAGACCATCCTACACATTCTTCAGGTTTTAATTCATTAGTTTTCGCAGCTGCCCCAAAACTCAAAGGAGAAAAAGAAAAAAACCAAACCAAAAAAAAACAAAAAAAACTTTAAACATTCAACCAGTGTCTTTCATGTCAAAGCACACTTGCTTGGGTTAATTTCATAGATTATCTACATGGAATTAAAAATACAATAATCATGAAAAAAACAATTAATTTCCATTCTAACAGAGTACCAGAAAGTTAGCAAATGACTAAAAATAATGGGATGCACTGTTGATTTGCTTATGTTCAAAGGCAGGGAAAACTGAAGACACAACTGCACAGACTGATTCCAAGCATGTTGCACCCCGACTTTCTGCACCAGAGAGCACCAAGACATCTACAGAGCTCAAAGGGAGCACAGCAGTCATACTGCCACCAGCACATTGTTGACACCAGCATAAGCTTGAACTCTTAGGCACAGACAGCCCATACTTTGACTGGTTGTGATTTTGTCAAAAATCATAGAATCAAAGAATAGTTTGGGTTGGAAGGGACATTAAAGCTCATCTAGTTCTAACCTCATGCTATGGGCAGGGACACCTTCCACTAGACCAGGTTGTTCAAAGCCCCATCCAACCTGGCCTTGAATGCTGCCAGGGATGGGGCAGCCACAGCTTCTCTGGGCAACCTGTGCCAGCACCTCACCACCCTCATAGTGAAGGAATTTTTTTCCGTATGAAAAATTAATGTGCTGTAATTGACAACCAGCCTCTGATAAGATGCAGGCCATATTAACATCCTGGGGGAAGCTGAGGGCAGAGGACTGTGAAGATAGCCGCTGCCCTGCAAATGCTTATCAGAAGTTAGATATCTGTTTGGTGATTTCCAGAGGGAAATGGCCACTATGCGTATGCCTGGTTAGAAGGCCACAACATCTCCTGGTGTAACGTTCTGCAGTTCAGGATCTGAGTGTTCCTCACTGCTACGATCAGCTGAAAGGAGCAAAGCAAGACTGCTGCCACTTCTGCAAGTTGTCTCACAAATATGAAGTGACCATGTTTTTACTTATGTAGCTTCTGAAACTCCCAATAGTTTGGCACTGTGAAAGAAATGAAAGCACAAAATAACCACAGTTTTGCAGATTCTAATAAAATAAAATTACTCCTCCATTTGGATTTCTAGGATGCTTTCCTCTTTCCTGCGTCTGTTTTTGAGCAGTGGGGGCGAAATCTAGGCTCTACATTAAAATATCTTCAAAATTATAACTTTTTTTTTTCCCTACATCTTGTAAACACTGAAACCCGTGTTGGTTCTGTAAGGATTGATTTAAGGACTACTAACCACTGCCTTTTGAGCTGCTTTGTCTGCCTCTGGTTTCTAGGGGAAAATTACCCAATATATGCTTATTTGAGAAAGAATCTTTCCCTTTACAGCTGAGCTTTGCCCCCTATGAAATGCTGTGACCTTTCAAAAAAGTTGAAGCTCATAATAGAAAATGGAAGCAAAGGCTTTACAAAGCCAATTCAGAGCATAATTTTAAGGAGCACATGTAATTAACAATGTCATGGAGGACAGAGGTCAAATCAAAATATTGCTGACAGTCATCTCAAGGGACTGAAATTTAATCAGGCTACAGCAATGTTTACTACACATAGGGTTCATTTCACACAACATTTTTATTCTGCAGCTAACAGCAATGAAAAGAAAAAAATAACGTAACCACAGAGCAAATCATTATCTGCAAAGCACTGCTCACAAACTTCATCCCCAACTTTGCACAAATGGGAGACTTGCTTGGATTTGTATCTGTTCATTACATGCAACAGACACACTCAGCTTAGTCAAATACATCACAAGAATTTCAGATCCTGAGTCAGCAACTTGCATATAGAAGTACCAACCTCATCTAACATTAGCTTTCTAAGTCCATTAAAATGGCAAGTTTATTATATGCATATATGGTATTAAATCATTCGTGCTCAAAGTTTGCAAAAGGTTTACATTCAACACTAACTGATTCAACACAAAAGAACAGTTAAGAAGTTAATGCGGTGACTTGAAAGCAATGACTTTAGATATAAAACTTGAGAGTATTTTACTGTAACACTGGTTAAATTTTATACATTTTAGTCTTTACCAGAAAAAAAAATAAAGTTCTGCAAACTGTTACATTTCATACCTTACAAATGTATGATACAACTCCAAAAATGCCACTAAGCTATCTTTTCTTCATGTGAGGGCTCACTTCTCAAAAGTTTCAAACATCTTTTGTGCAGAACAAAGTCTCAGCTAGCCCACGACACCTGTACAGGTGTCAATATTCCTGACAGATGAATTTGGAGGCTGACCTCTTCACATTCATACCTAGTAATTTCAGGATCGAGTTTCCACAAGCACCCTGCAAATCCTTTCCCACCTCCTGCCAATGACTCTCCCTGCATAAATGCACACTATTTTACTTACTGTTTGGTGAAGTTTTGGGTTTTCTTTTCCTTTTTTAACTGTGAGGAAACAGGGTATTGGAGTAGTATGCTGACCTAGGAAAGACGCTCTCTATGTACTATCTTTATATGTGTTCTATGGGTTTATCATGTGCACATAAAAGATAACTTTGCAAAATTCATAGTTTAGCTGTTTAAAAGGAAGAAATGAGAAGAAATAACTGAAGATATAGCATGTGTATTTCTTTGGGGTCTGTGAAATTTCATCTCTAGTGAAGTCAATGGCAAAACTGTTGACTGCTGATTCCTCTTAGCTATTCAATGTACACGTGCACCACCTACCATGTTTTAAATGCTATTGCAATATGAATATATGTAGCCTAGAATATATGTAGCCTAGGTTTAGGATAAGACACTGGAAGAAATGATTAAAGCATTCAGTTCGTAACAGTTTTTTGGTAATAAAGCTTAGTAAACTACTACTTTTCCTGTACTTGCTACTGAGAAATGTGTAACAAAAAAAATGACCATACCTTGCTATCTTCATGAACTGTGTGCCATACAGACACCCCCAAAAGTGGAAAACAAGAGTGACAAGGCTAGGCAAGTGCATCTTCCTCTCAGACAAAAAAACCTAACATCCAAGAAACCAATGCCAACTGCCTAAGCCGTGGTCGTGCTTCAAAATGCAACAGAAAATAACCAGAGACAGGAGGCTTGGCACCAGCTCTGCTGCATACTCATCCTCCCTCCTCTTCCTATAAAGGCCGTTCATTGCCATCTTGTGTTGCAAAGTTGTATGGCAACTATTAAATCCACGCTATTAAGGAAGTTTGCCCTTTATATAGAACAAGAAAGTCCAGCAGAGTGGAATTCTGGAAACAATTCAGTAGTTCCGCGAATCCTTTCACTGGGAGCTCAATATCCAACAGAAAAAAAGCCATGTTAAATAACAGTCCACAGAAAGTTATCTGTACATGCTATCAATTTTGCACAGAACTATAGAGTAGTAATTTCAGCAGAAATACTCTATCATTTGTGTTAAAAATAAACCAGCAGAAAAAAATATATCATTTATCAGAAAAAACTACATTTTTTTCACTTACGTTGTAATTTTTCTCCTCAGAAAAATATATTTATTGCCCAATACTGAAAAATGTAATTAAAAATATTTTAGGTAAGGTGTGACTTGTGACTTCAAAGAATTATCTTTTGCAAATAACCAGCCCACTTCAGCAATGCCATCAAAAAGATCCTGAAACTAAGCAAATGCCAGCAGTTTTAATAATTTAACAAATTTTGCAGAAAAAAATTCTGAAGTACATTTACAATTTAAAAACTTTCATTAACTTCAGAGGCAGCCCACATGAATGTTCTATGTCAGTCACTTCAGAAAAGTTAAATACCGAATACAGGATAAACTAGTATGACCTAGTAAATACTGTAAAAGATTACTGACAGAATTAAAGGATATGCTCTGACTAATCCATCTTCTAAGGTATCCTGGGCTCACTTAAACCATGACATAAGGTATTGTAGAAACAAAGGGTAATTAATATTTAAAAATAGAAAACAGGAAAGCTTTGTATAGAGCTCCACACACTTGTGTATAACACAACCATAGGCATTTGAAAGGACTGACTTACCACCATTAGATACTATATTCTCCCTACAGCCACAATCAGTGCCTTAAAGCCTGCAGTACGAACAGGGCAGTACTGACAAGAAAGTGGAAGTATTTATGGGTGGAGATTCTCCTTTTAAAATGAAAACATTTACCATTGTACTTTTAGCTCCCTCTACCCTATTTTACTTCTTGCAGAATCTAGCACATAGTATATTTAAGATATTGATTTAACTAAGCATATAGTAAAATATAAGTTGTGTGGAATACGTTTCAAATAAAAATATTTTGTTCTTCAGCAATGAACGCAATCAAGATGCATGTGCAAATTGGAAAGTAAACGTAATTCTTCCTGTTGCTGATGATGCTATCCCAAGATAGGGTGAAAGACCTGGGTATGTTCTTCAACTGACAGACAACTTTCGTGAAGAACTTCAATATAAATAATGCACCAGAGTTGTGAGGGAGGCTGGAAAAAACTGCATTAAACCACTGTGGAAGGGAATGCACTACAAGGAATTACTGTAAAAAAAAAAACCCTATCCGATTAAAAACCAGGAAGCATCACAATACAACTGTATAAATTCATAATGCAGATACATTTTGAATACTGCATGCAGTTCTGCTCTTTCATCTCAAATAATTTAGCAGAATTAAAAAAAGGAGAAAGAGTGGCAAGGCTGACTGAAGCTATGAAACAATGTCCATGCAAGGAAGCAACTACACAGATGATAACTTTTCAAGCCAAAAGAAAAAGAAAGAGGGAGTGCAGGTAGCATAAATACCTATGAAGTCATGAGTGGCACAGAAAAATGAACAGAGAAAGATTACTGAGTATTTTTCCCAGTGCAAGAACTGAGGAGAACCAAATGAAACTGGCAGGTGGCTCAGAAACAAACAAAAGGAAGTACTTTTTCACACAATGTGTAGTTAAACTCTGGAACTAATTGCCACAGGATGTTGTGGATGCCAAAGTTTACATGAGCTCGAAAAGCAATTAGAGAAATTCACCGGAGGGGGAAAACACATCCATGAACGGCTGTTAATCACAAAGATATTACCAGAGGATTAGGAAATCTTGGAGCCACAGACTGTCAGATGCTGAAAGAGCACACCAGGCAAGTACTACTGTATGCTTAACCTGTTCTTATAGTGTTCTGTAAGTACCCACACCTGCTCATTGACAGAGGTAGGACTGGGATACACCAATCACAAGCCTCTTTCAACACAGGAATTCTTACGGGTTGATTATTATTTGGACATTTTTAAGTACTTTTTCCAGCTCAGCTATTCATCTTCTGCTCTGCCCACTTTTGCATGCTATGATCCTGTCTTCCAGATGGTCTCTAGTCCTAGGGCTTATTTCCGTAAACTCAGTCATTTTTCACTGGTAAAAGTATCATGATTATATTTATGATAAGGAGCACATTTACATCACATTTAAAGCTTTTTTTTTTTGAAGAAAAAGTAACATTTAGTACATTATAAAATACATAATTTGTTAGAAACTATTAAAAAAATCTGTTTACACTCTTTAAGATATCTATAATGAAACCTGGGAAGTATACACCAGGAAGCAGCCAGACTCAGAGCCTAAGGAACTGCAACGGAAAATTTATATATAGGGTTAAAATACCAGTCAAGGCTATAGAACACAGACAACAGAACTTGTTCAAACGAGTTTTATGTTTTATATGAGTTCTCATTAGGGGACTGGGCCACCCATGTTAGAAACCACTTGATATTAACCAGTACCCTGAACAAACAAAACACTTACATTAGTCTTTTAATGCTTAAGCACTGGAACAGAAGCAAGACAGTGCTGCCATATCATCAGCAACAAGAGGAAGCTTCCTCCTATAACTAAATAATTTAGATTTGCAAGTAGTTTCTAATCAGGAAGTGAATCCCAGCCTTATATTTACAAATTTAGACTGGAAATTAAAAGACTGTATGTAACCATCAGAGAAATGATATCCTGAAAGCTGTTTCCAGTATGAACAGCAAGTCCCATGAAGTTACCTATTTAAAAATGGAGCTCAAGATACATGAATGAGCTGAATAATATAAACACAGCTGCCTGAAACAGAGAGAGACTGGAATTCATGATTCAGGAAATCCCTTCCATTCCACTCCTAATTAAAATACAAATACTTTATGAATGCATGTTGTGGGAGTCGGGATTTTTTTTTTTTTCTCCTTAATCGCAGTCCTGATCACTACTAAATGCAGTAACAAGGAAATTACTTGTACAGCCACCTGAGAGTTCAACGCTCTATGCTATCAAAAACTGTCTCAGGAGTATAAGGAAAATGCAACACAGAAAAGCACTCTATTCACTAAGGGAAAGACAAAGAAATCCCTGCAATAAAAGTTATAACCATTTAGCAATAAAAGCATGCAGAAAGTAGAGAGGACATTGCAGATCTGACTACAAAGCTAAGCAGCGGCAGTTTAAAATATTCCCAAAGGTACAATAAAACAGACCATGCCATCATACACAGTTTTATGCTGAATAGTAATTATTTCCTTAGAATAATAATTGCGGTATGTATGACCTGAATCTAAAGAAACATGGTGCAGTGATGGTGTTTTCTCTACACAGTGATTTATGAAATGAATACTACAAACTTGAAGCATATATGCTAATATGCAGGCACCTAAGGTTATAAATATACAGACAGGCTGCTCTTACAGGTCTAGCCTTAGTTTACAAAATAATGACCCCAGATGTTATTGCTTTGAGATGGGAGGTTATTTCTGTTGCTGCTGAGAAGCAAAATTGACAATGCAAAAAAATCTAAGTTGATTTCAGTGCAAAATAAAAGATTAACTTAAACATTATGTATTTGCTAGTGCTCCTTTACATTGCATATTCAGTGTAAATTATGTTGTTTTATTACATTACACTACCATCTCTACATCTGAATCAGTAAGATCTCACTGTATTTAAGAAAAATTCCATTTGTGATATCAATTAAATGCTTGCACGTGAACAACCGATATCACATTAAATGTTCTAAGGACAGTGGTCAGAATTTGCTTCATTTCAAACTAGTTCCAAGACACTATAGAGTAGGTACTTACTGAGATCCTCTGCAAGCTGGACCCTCTTGCCAGTTAGGAGCTTCACCTTTTTTTCATTATCCTCAGCAAAATCTTCAAGCACTTCTTTTACATTCTTCTCTAAGCGCCTTACTGTAAAAAGACCCCAAAACAACAAACCAAAAAAAAAAAAAAGTGAGTGGTAACACTTGCATCTGTCATGACCTAAGGCCAAAATTTTTGGAAGGTCTGTGGGAGAAGTAGTGTATGTTATCAGAGAAACTAATGTGATTAGACAAAAGGCAAATTTCTGAATACACAAGCCCCTTGTTTTGGCCATTAAGTAACATATTTGCTATCAAAATCACCCTCATCAGACAAACCAAGGTCAAGTCAATTAAAAGGTGAAACATAGAAAAGTTACTAATACTAGCAGAATGTGGTATTGAAGGATTGGTGACAGAGGGGTGCTGCTGTATATACACGGCTAAGAGGAACCAAAACCTCTTTAAGGCAGCATTATGTACATCATAACATTCATATCCTTGCCTTTCATACTTTGAGGGAGTACCTCCTAACGAAACTTCCTAATTTCATCGCAGCAGTTTTCAATGATGTAGGTGATTCAAGGAGACAGAACCTAGCTTTCCACATTAGGGTAACATGGAGGGTAACATGCATCGCATGACAAAGCTCAAACCTTTTATTTGAACTGTCTTCAAGAAGAGGCTGAAAACTATTTTACAGATCAAAGGTTGTTCTTAGTAGTTGTTCCATAGCACTAGCCACTTGCTACTGAAATGATGATTTAATAAGGAAGCTGCTGTTGTATAAGCTTTTCTTTTTTTTAGATATTTTTAGATATTTCTTTAGATAGTTCTTTTTTTTTAGATATTAAATGTCAGATTTTGCATGGCTTTAAAAAAAAAAAAATCCATTAGAACTACTTCTTATATCAAACATTTTTAAATTAAAATCTACAGACAGATTGACCTGAGGTAAAAAAAAATAAAAATAGGAAAATAGTCACTATTTGTTGAAGTTCTTTCTGCCTGGAAAAAGATGTTGACGACTGACATCACACAAGCTAAAAATATTTTAAACAGGCGAGTATCTTAATTATTTCACATTCTATTTATACTCAATCCTTCTGTGTAAATAGAATGTCAAAATCTGTTTACTCTACATCCTAGCCAGGACACAAAAACCAGCCAGCCATGCTAAGCATGGAAAGAACATATAGCTAGACAACCACCAGAAAATTTCTAACCTTTTTTTTTGTTTCAAACACCTCAACTCACTATAAGCCTTACCTTCAGTGTTAGTAAGCTGCTGCCTCAGCGTATTTGCTGTAATTGCCAGCATTCGCTGTATTCGCCAGAAGAGGACAATATCATTACATTCAAGCTGAAATGAGGGAAGTTGTACTGTCAGACCTCTGATACCCAGTGAAGATTCTACACTTACAAGAATCTCTTGACATTTTTAATGGCAACTGTAAGCCCATGTATACATATCCTGATCTTGCACAAAAATACCACAGAATAACTGGAGCAGGGAACAAGGAAGCACACCAAAACCACTTCTCAAGAGCCATGTCCCTTACTTAGTATACCCCATCACCTTTACATAGACTATTTTCAACAGAAAAAGCCACATCAAGGAATAGCACAGAAAAACAATTTGCACACACCACATGCAACCTGGTGAGTATAATCTAACGCTCACTGAAGCATCACACTTGTTCATAGCAAACACATTAAAAGACAAACATCTGAACTCCCTGACTGTCATGACTCCCCATCTGAGAAACACTTCTGAATACAGTGCTGTGTCAACTGTGTATTTGTTAACAGAAGAGATAGTTTCTACATCTGCAAGGATGGCAGGTACTAACTTCCCATTACAACATCTTATAAAGCCAGTTACAGGAGGTTAAGTGTCACAGAGAGGTAGCTCTCTGATCTCATTTTTTCAGGTCTTACAGGCAAAGGTATTTCTACAGTAGTAAAGATTTCTGGCTCCAAGGGGATCACTTTTTCTCATTAAAAAAGAAAAGCAAACTCCACAGAATATGAGGAGCTCTACCTTTCCCATATTTTTTTTTGATTTAAAAAACAGTTTTCTTTGTGCAACTTTGTACATACTGTCATTGGTTGCATTTGGGTTTACAAAACTGTAAAGTTATTTAAAAGACCTGTCTGTAAGCTAAGCTCCACAGTTGTTTGTCGGGTTGTCTTTTGTTTTGTTTGGACGGTTTTTGTTTGGTTTTGGATTGGCTTATTTTTTCCTCATTAATCACATGTGGTTCCAAGTTCTAAACACTTATTTATCATACCTCATAAAACCCCTTAGTTCATGTTTTTAAAATTTTCTGAATTTTTGGTATCAGTGAGGTACATAATTATCAATGGGAAAATAGGAGAAAGGGATACCAACAGGATACCAATAGCTGTACAATACTTCTTTTAACAGTATATTTTCAAGACACATCAGTAAGTAACAAATGTTTAGGTCATGGCTGATACCATGACCATGGCTGGTCATTTTATATAATTACCACCAGGATGGCATTTTATCAATTACAAGCCTCATGTAAAACATGTCTAAGAACACCAGCTATCTTAAGGTAAAGGATATAAAAGAAAGGTCAGGCTAGTTTAAAGTATTTGTAGATTTTTATTTTTTTAACTGAGATGGAAATATTAAGCCAAACAACCAGCGTGTATCTATACTTCAATTTACCTCCGAGTCCACAAAATGCCTCTGGTAATAATAAAAGCCTCTTCGACATAGATTGCAGTGGTTCAAAGCAGTCTTCAGAAAATATCTTCTATAAATTTGGTGCCATGTGTCTTTAATCTAGGAAAACAGAGCTTAATTTTTACTAAATAAATACATACATACGCTATCGTGCATAGTTTAATGGTCACATTTAATTTCAAAATGTAACTCCAATTTCCACTATTCCTGTCATGTAGTATACATTTAAATATTTCTCAGCAATTTGTCTGCAACTGGGATATGATTAATGTCTTAGCTACATTTGGCAAACATTACAGTTGATTGTCAATTTTAAAATCTACTATTCCATGCTTGCAACATAACTGAATGCTTAAAAATATTGTCTGCAGCTGAAATACATTTAAATTATATACTACAAAACAGGACAAATTGTTCTGCTCTTGGCATGACGTAATCTTTAAGATGGAGAATACATTTCTGAGTTCTACCTATTAGTTTATCAATTAAACCTGATTGAGCATAGAGAAACATTTAATGGTCTTACGTAAACAAGTATTTGTAATTTTTCTTGATTAGGCTTATTTATGTTCCAGTTCATCACAATCAAATATGCATATAGATATGTCTCTTACAAAAAAATAAAAAAAAAATAAAAGAAAATTTAAAAAATATTCTCACGTAGAAGACGTGGATCATTACTCTGACCTTTACAAAAAGGTATGGTAAGTGCTGTATAGGAAAGAGGCAGCAAGTATTTAAATAACTCTTCTACCTTGAATAAGTACATGCATCCATGTTAAGAAAAGGTAGCCAGGTACTGTAGAAAATAAATGCGTTGTACTGCATTTGTCTAGCAGCCAAGAGAAGTGTGTGAATTGTGTGCAAGCAGTCATTTAGTAATTAATTTGGAAACATCTGGATTACAAATTCAGTATTTAGAGGGAGTCTTTTGCATACTACCTAGAAAGAACGTCCAAATGTTCACAGCGTGCTTCCATATGTTTTGTTACAAATCTGCATCTTACCAGACACGGATCCACTGTTACTCCTCTTGCTTCAAGATTCTTTCTGACAGTTGTCACTTCATCATTTGCCAGATAAGCTGCATGTTCTTCACTACATTTGATTAATTTCTCAAGTTCATTTTTTGTTTCATTACGAATATTCTAGAATAAAAATGTTTAGTTAGAAGTAATTCTTACAGACTCAAAGATCATCAGCACCTCCTCAATAAACAGTCTACCTGCTTGATAAGCCAGAATTGAAAGTAACTTTGACACTTTTAATTATTAAAGTGACTGAAAAGGGTACTTGCACAAAGACATTTAAAATACAGTGCTTTTAAATAGATAATTCACAGTTTTTCACATTTTTTTCTTCTCACTGTGCACAGAAATGCAGAAGAGGAAGAGATAGGTGAAAAAAAATAAGCCAGAGGCATTAGCCTCCTTTCTGTTCCATGAACATCCGCTAGTGGAGTTCACATTCACATAATCACCTGTGATACTCATGAGAATTGTCACTTTTCCCCAATAGCTAGCAAGAACTCTCCATGGATTCATCCCTTTAATTTGCTGTTTGTTATATTCAAATAAGATAGGTTGAAGTCACCGTCTTTCTCCCATGCCTGGCTCCATACAAGTTGACTGTAAAGTTCCTTCCTCTGAAACAATTATTTTAAACTCTACTTACAGCTTTAAAGTATGATTGAGTTTGACAAATACCTAGAAAAAGTAACATTAAAAGCCCATAATCTCTGGGCACTGAGCAGAACATGGTATTTAAATTTAAAAGAAATTTCCAAAAGCTATAAGCAAACAAGAAGAGAGGTCATGGTGAAAAAACTTATTCAGAAGATACAACTGTGTGACTATCCCATTACATACTAATCAAATCCAAATGGAGCATGACAGAAAACTGCAGCGACTTCTGCTTAAAAGGCACCCTTGGAAAGCACAGAAAAGAACAGGGCAGTTTCCATCCTGTTTCTTTCTAATGAAAGAATTTAATATTCATGTCAATGATACAGTAGTAAAGATGTAAGCCAGCTGAAGAATGGAGAACAGTTTACAAACCAGTATGTATCTGCAATATGAACAAAGTACATGGAACTACCTGTGGTGCTCTATTTAAATAGATGAATACTAAAACTAATTGCAAAATATTTAAAAGTTATTTTAAACTTTTTTTTAATCATCTAAATATAGAGTGAAGAGGATCGGTATTTTTTAAAATTTGCTAACTAATAATCAAAATTTTCAAAAGGTAGTGAACTATCTTTTCCTTTTACCTGTTCTTTGGTGCGGCCTATCCAGTATAACCATCTTTTTTTCCAGTCTGGACCCACCATATCTTCAATAACAGATTCAGCTAAAAAAGAAAACGTGATATTAAGTATCACTCAAAATACCTGTAACCAGCCAAATTTATAGTTCTAAAATTAGGTAGATCAAGAATAGACATTTTATGTTTAAGAACATAAGATATGCCATACTGAGGCAAGTCAGAAGTTTTCTGCTTAAAGCAAAAGTTGATGTCTTTTATTAAAATATAAAAATGACTGCAACCTGTAGTTAAAAAAAATAAAATAAAATAATCTTACCTTGTTGCAACTTGCATCAAAAATAATTATGCTTGATAACCACAGATGGGCCAACTACTTTCCCTGAATTTATCCTACTCTTCTACATGTGCGTTTATACCTTTTTTGACTCTGCAGATCTCTATTACTTGTCTTTCAGCTTCCTCATCGCAAAAGACCTACCTTTTGAGGTGGCATTTTGCTAAACATTTCTATCATTGTTGGTACCATTTTGAACTGTCACCACTATCACAGTTGTGATAAAATAAAAGTTGCCCTGTAGTAAAGTGAACAAGATCCGGATTTGGTATACAAGAGTGGAATACATCACACAACTCACTGTCTTTGAGACGACTTTGGAGTGTCTCTTCCATAAAATGAATAGCTGCATCCCACTGCTGTTTATCAGATATTGACCGATCTTCTAAGGCATTATGCTGGATCACTCGCTGAAACACAGAACATCTTTTTAGCATAAAATAAATAATTTATCCAGAATTCAGTAAAACAAAGATTATTGACATTCTCCTCATTTTTTGATTTCTATAAAAACCAGCATGCATTGGGAATACAGGATTTATTCAAGAGGCTTCTCAAAGCAGTGCCAAAATTCTTTTCTTGTGCCTTTAATTTGACTCTCTTCTATAGCCTAGCATAACTGACGTCAAAAATGCAACAAGCAATATGAAATCCCTCTGGATTACAGAATATATAAAGATGGTAATGAAATGCTGTTACTTTATATGGCTATACTTAGCAAATGAGCTGATGCTAAACAATTCTCACAAGATAGTCCTTTGGCAGCCAGAAGATTATGGAGGACTTTCTCCTGAACCAACCTAAATAATTTTATTAGCTGATATTTAGGGCAATAGTTAACATAAGGTAGTAGTAAAATGAATTGAGAAACGCCAAATTAGAACATTATATAGAAAAGGAGAGATAGTCACATCTATCATTTAATGATTACATTAAAAGAATGCAGAAGTACTGAATATGCCACTCAAGTAAAAAAATTTCAACAGCACTTATCCAATAATGCAAAAAAAAATCCACTACATTATACCAGGCTATCCTCCGCTCTCTCATTCCATTTATGTCGCTTAATACTTTCTTCTTTGACAGCTTGTTTCAGTTTATCAAAGATATCATCATGCTCTTTTCCTTTTGGCTCAGTCATGAAACGGGAAAATTCTTCTTGCAAAGTCTCCCATGCCACCTAGAAAGTTAGCAAACAGTACCTACTGATACAGACCATTATACCATGCAACAGCTGATAATGGAACATTCATGACAATTCTTGCAAGTATGAAAATTTGCGTATTTTCAAAAAACAATGTCCAAGCAAAAGAGTAAGTCATTGACTTTTCTTTTGCTGCCTTATCTAGCCATTACTAAGGAAGACTAAATTTCACCTTGCTATGTTGCAGCAAGTGGAATTCTCTTAAACTTGCATAAATCTATTAAATAAATATACCTAGCTTGAAGGGTTTAACCTTTTAAGAGGGCTTTTTTTTTGTCTTTAGTATGGAAAATTCACCACAAGACCAAAATACAATGTTCCTAATGTATATGCTTCTCAACATCAAGATCTTGTTAGCCTTCTTTTACATGAAAGCTAGTTAGAAGAACTGCAGTGAGCCCTTCAAACCATCACCTTCTCTGGAGGTATGCTTTAATTTCATCAGGCTTTGCACAGATTTTTTTTTATTTTTCTCTTTATTTAAATAAATAATTTCTCACCTCTACCGCTTTATTAGGTAGCTGCTTGTCAGTCCACTGCTTCAGTTTGATGTCCACAGTGGTGTTAAATGTCCCCGAGTTCATAGTCTGTGCTGCTGGAAGGTATATATTCTCAATCACATGAGTAGATACCCTTTCCCATAAAGTTTTCTGAAGAATCTCCTCCCTAAAATGCAAGTTGTAACACATATAATAACTTCCAGTGCAAAAGTGTCTAACAAGTATGCACTCCATTTGTTAGAAACACTTAGGAAACAAGGCTACAGAACAATGAAATACTCCCTTAACATCAGGACACTACTTCGACCAAAATCTGCTTGGAATTAAGGACACAAATGCATAATGTTTTCAGCAGCAGAGACAATTTCACAAGTTGACCTCTACTACTCTTATGGTTGCCACTGCACTGCACTGCACAACAGTTCCTTGCAGTCCTTAACCAGTATAACCATAGAGAGCTGTGTGTGCATATGCATGGCAGATGAGGGAAAGACAAGGGGGCAGATTGCAAAGCACTGAAATTATTTGACTGGTGTCTCACACATGGAGAAACAAACTCCATGTGGGTTTTGTTTCTGTACTACTCTTGATTTGTTTGTTGGAACATGCTGTAGTTTTCCACCTGGGATTTTCACTGATTGTTCCCAGATCTGATAAACAGTGAAGCAAGTTGAGAAGCCCAACCTTTTGCTAAAAGGTATGTCGACATTCATTTACAAACGTTATCACATAACACTGTAAAACTAAGCACCACTTTCCTATATATGATGTGTTTCAAGAAGTAACAATGGAAACAACTTAACTTTAATCTTTTTAAATGACAATAAACTTTCTCAGGAAACTTTGCAGCTGCAGCAAGAAAACCCATCTGAGCCAGTATAACATGAAGCTGGTACCCACAGAGGCAGTCACACTCCTTCTGCTCCTGCCCCAGACTCCAGTACAGGTTTTGGCTTTCTTGCAGGTTCATTTTATCCTAGCTAAATCAGCTTACCATCAGGTCATACGAATGCCAGATTTGGTAGAATGGCAAAAGCTAAGAGCTGAAGAATAAAAACTACCTTTTTTTGGTGGTACAAGACTATCAGATTCACTCAAGTCCTTTTCTTCCAAATGCTCCTAAGTTCAGGACACATGCTTCAACCCTGACAATGCCCCTACTCTAACCAGATTTGCAGACAACGACTGAAGAACTTCTCATAAATATCACTTCTCCACCCCTTTCTAAAATGGCATAATTGAAAATTTCTTTCGTGCTTAAAGCATCCTCTTTTTGAGATTCAAAAATTTTGAAGCTGTCCTTCTGACATACCAGCTTAAATGGGAATGATAGCCAGTAGTTTTCCTAATGTTGGAACACATTTTTGGCATATTTAGGATAGTAAAACTGTTTACACAAAACAAAAAGGAACTCAAACATTTAAATGTTGAAAGAACTCACTCTAAATAAAAACTAATTTTGCCACCAGTAAAAAAAAAAAAAAAAATCTCCTTAAAAAGCTTTGTTCAAAACAGGAGGACCCGGGCAGTGCTCAAAGATCAATTATTGATCATTCCTGATCATCATTAGAACTGTGGACATGACAAATTAATTTCACTTACAGGGTGTGCTGGAAACTGGCTGTTATGGATTTCACTACTTACAAATTCACTGTAGAAGGGCAGTCCTGCTATTAAGAACAAATGCAATCTCATTCCTTCTTTACTGACATGTCAATAAAAATACTCTTTTACTTTGCTTAATGCAATCAAACTTAATTGGAAGGAATGGAAATTTTAACAGGATGGAAACATTAGCATTCATCAAATGCACTGCTGATTTTAGGCTGCATATGATGGCTAATGGAAGCATTTTTTCATAACTTAGGTTTCCAGTTCTACTTTATAGTTTGTTAACTGCTGCAAAACTAGAATCATCACTACATTTTAACTCTCAGACAGAAATGCACCCACCCCATCCACAACAAAATTAAGTCGACTCGACGTGGACCAGGGTACTTCAGCATCTATCATACAGTGAACAGGAACAAGCACCAAAATGGCAAACTTGTATTACACTTGGACTATAAAATAAATTCAGCCTAATACACTGCCTATAACACTTGCTCTGAAGGCATCCACATGCCCAGAATTACTCTAATGTCATTAAGACTCAGACATTTTATCTTGGTTTTTAATCTATGACCAAGTAACAGTTCAATTCAGGTGACTGAAGGTTCTTAGTTGTGGTAAAGGCTGCCATCAAAATAATTCCTTATATTTTCCTCTCAGCATACAGTGGCTTTACTATGCAGTGATGCTACACTGTTAAAATACTTCAGCCAAGATGGGTCCCTCTAACAGCTATGTCTGCCTTACAAAGAAGTGGGGCAACACATTATGGTGCTACTTGGTTGAGGCTACCAAAAAGATCTACATGTAGGGTAAAATTCTCAAGCATCCAGATCAGCTTTCTTTACAACCAGGAATTACCAAATCTTTCAATTTCCAAATCTTTGATTCACAGGGATACAAAACTTCTTTCTTCCAAGGTCATATATATTATTTTGATATACACAGTGATAAACCCCAAATATCAAGTTAAAGCAAATTACTGATTCATACTTCAAAAGAACATCTGAAAACAGCTTTATTATCACTGTTTCTTTTCATTTTTGAGGAATATCTATTGTTCATTATATCATATAAAACCAGAACAAAATACTGACATAATGTGATTTTTGTCAAGGGATTATGGAAGTGTTTGCTGATTCAGAACAACAGACTGCTTCCATAGGGATAAAAGACATAACACACTGACCTAAGAAAAACAGTTTCATATTCATATTTGAGAGTTTTAGTAAAACTCTGTATTTTAAAGGTGAACTTTTGCTAGTTAATTAAAAAAATGGGGAGGAGGGGGGGCAAGGGGCAGAGAGAGACACAGGAAAGAAAAAAATATCATACCAGTGCTTTGGTGTGACCTGAGTCAAGCTTATGACTTCATCAAGAATCTCATTCTTTGCTTTTTCAAACAGTTCATTCTGTGCAAAAGGCAAAATACGGAATAAAAAGATTTTAAGTATAGTTCAATCATGTTTCCATAGAAAAAGTAAAAACCAAAACCTTACACCTTCCAGTCATGTTCTGGACAATTTACGCGTTTCTTGTATGGTAAACCAAGATAACTTACATCTTCCTACCCATCTCTTGCATGCCTCTGGCCAAGCATAGCATTTGAATATTCAGGGTCTCTATAAAGGAATTAAGAGAATGGGATCATAATTGTTTTGATATTCTGTCTGACTGAAAGACCAGGAAATCTAACTTCTCTTTGCCAGTTCTGTCATGATCACAAAGAAACACTGACTTAATCCTATGGGCAAGTTAGGTCAGTGAACAGCACACAGAAGCGTGAAGGACTTCTAAGCACTGAAATACCACAATTTTGAAGCACGCTATTTCATAAAATGGAGAGATCAGTATTTCTTTACCCTACGTTGTCCTCACATTTTAAAATGTCAGTACTTCACATTTACTTTAAGAAATATTTACAAATGAGATTAAATGACAAATTTTAATCCATAATTTTCAACACTTCGTAGCACATAAAGCAGTAATTTACCCTGTCAAGCTCTCGCAACCGGGGATAATTGTTCTTCCATTCAGTCTCTAGATTGAAACGTGTGGCTGCAAAATCAGAAATAAGGCCTTAATATTTTTCTTGTCTATATGGACTTCGTGACTATCTTAGAAGTTCAGCTCCTAAAACTGCCAAAAGTCTTGCTTACGACAAACTCTCCAAGAACACTGAAAGCGCAAATTTTTCTGAATGAGCAAATTTTTCTGCTATGTTCAGATATTCTGTCTAGAAATTGCAGGATTGATGCAATGAAAAAATGTAGCGGAAACAGAACCGTGCAACTTACACCTCTGTACAAGGCAGTCCTGCCCTGGCTGATCAGGTTATATTTTTATATGGGAAGCCATTTTGTTTTGCCCACAAAAAAAAAAACACTACATTTTTTTTCTTCACACTTATTTACTTCTCTGGCTTTTACAGCAAGTGGGTCCTCCATTCCATGAATTTTTTTTTTCTGTGTTTTTGTAAAGATTAACATATAAAACACAACTGCCCAAGCATGCTGGCAGAAAAGTATAACATATACAGAAGATCTGTTTAACAGCAAGCTGCTATTTCTCTTGGGTTTTGAAAAGATGTTTACCTTTAAAAGCATCTGCTTGCTGCTCCACAGACTCTCTCACCATTTTCCAAAAGCAGTCTGACACAGCAAGACTTAAGTTCTTTGTTGTTACCTGGTGTGCTTTAAGCATACATGTCCTGTAAAGGAAGACAGCTAGAGGAAATTCTTCCATTCATTACCATGCTTTCTGTCCTCCATTTTCTCCTCACAAGAATAAAGCTTTGCTTTATATAGCAGTCAACAGTATGTCAATGTGACCCTAACTCAAAACCCAGCCTCTTCCTCCAAATTATTCAGTGAGTAAATGGGGCAGGAAAGGGAGGGAACAACACAAAAGCAAACCCAAACCCCCAGAATCCCAAAACACCCACCACAAATTTTTATTCTAAAGGGTGTAGTGCAGGTACCGCAGTCCCAAAGACCATGCTTACTTTCCTGAGAAATACAAGCCTGAGAAATAAAAACTTTGATCAACTGGCAGAATACACATACTAACCCTTTGAATACAACACTGTTGTCAGACCAAGATGACTGACATTTAGAGGGACTACAACTAATTTTTGGGCTGAATTCGCTCTTCCCAGCTGTATCAAGTGCCTAGACCTTGCTGGGAACTTAGTTATTCTAGATCCAATGGAGAGATGCAGAAACCTCTGAAGAGAGCTGCAAAACTCCAGCAGAATCAACTGCTGCCTGAAAATGCCTTACAGAAAGCATTAGGAAACCAGGCCCACCTGTTCACCTCAGCAAGATACTTCATTTAAGCAGATTAAATCACAGATAGTGTCCACAGTGCAGTCCTTTAATTTCAGCAAGAAAAACTGTATTTACCAACACAGGCCTATTTTAGTAAAAGGAATAAATAGCAACATACTTCAACAGCTTTGAATTTTGAAAAAATTCCTCTTCATACTCTTTAATAGATTCAATGCTTTCACTGCTGTTTCCTGGAGAAAGAAAAGAGTGCTGCAACAGTTCCATTTGGACAGTTTTCTCTGCTATCAAGGAGAAAATAAGGAGAGCCAGAGCTCTCTTTACCTTTTCCAGTAACAACTGCAAAATAACCCAAAGCTTTCATTGGGAAGAGTTTGCCTTCAATTATTTGCTGGATCTATGAAAATAAAGGATTAAAAAAATTGTGGTTAACTATGCACAAAGACATTCTTTCCTTCATCGTAGTTTCAAAGCCAGATCTAGTTTTATCTATGCATAGAGTGGAACAAGAGGCAGTTTCTCATGGGACTTTGATTCCTACAGGTATTTAAAATAAAATAAATCAGGGGCATAAAGCATAACACCGCAAAACACAAAATAAAGTGAAAAAGCCTATCCCAGAATACCATAAAGCATTCTCAGAAAACAGAACTTGCTCAGTTCACCTCCATGAAAGGAACCATTATTATACCAAGTTGTAGACAAGCTGTGATTGAAGTCATGTAACTGATCACTAAAAGCAAAGCCTGAGATTAAAACAACCACCACAATAAATAAATAAACAGCGATGAACACAGAAATAAGCACTCAACACCATCCAGAACAGGCAGGTGAGCTCTAATATTTCTGACAGTATCTCAAGTATTTTTCCATGTGTGACTTAAGCCATCACAATATAAGAAAAATAGTTTCAACTCACCCTGCTGGGACTAGCCACATTTTTCTCAGCAAGATCAACTTTGGTCAACACAAAAATTGTCCTTTTTCCTTGAGGATCCATTTGGCTGACTAAGTCTGTGACAATACTGCGTTCTGCATCCACTGATCCATCTAAAACAAACAAAACTAATACTGTATTTTAGGGACAATACAATCTAACATGCAGTACTAAATACATAGTATACTTCAAGTAAGTTTCATGTTGCAACTTACAAACAGTAAAATTACACTTACATTCAATTTTTGGATACACAAAGTGAAAATCTGCTTTGTTCCCAGTATTATCAAAAATTATTTGCAGTTGTACAAGTTTTGAACAAGTACCAGCTCACTCAAAATACTAAACTCTTTTATTGTTTGCTGCCTCCAAAACACTTTTGAAGAAATACTGAATTTTATTATTACTGTTTTTTCAAATGATAAAAATCTCCCATCATAAAGTTGCTTTTTGCAATGGACACCAAAGGTACCTTAATTTATAAACATTCTGTTTTGTACGCCATACAAATTATCACAAATGGGAAAAAAAAAAATCAAATCAGGACAGTCCACAGAGTAACCTAAGAATCATAATTAAAAAATAAAAAACCCCATGTCAGTCCATAAGCATCTAGACTCTTATTACCTTGAATACAAAGGATGATGGCATTAGGATTCTGCATGTAAGCCTTGCTGATGCTAAAGATAGTTTCCTTAGTATCTGGAGCCATACCTGATGTCACAGTCTTTAATATGTATATGGAGATACATGTTTGAAGGAAAAAAGAAAACAGAAGTATGTAAAAAAAGAAAAACAACAGTTAATGTTCTCACCTTGTCTTCAAGATTTTTTTTTTTAAATCTATTGCATACTTACACTAATGACTCCAGGTAAATCAACCAATACCATTCTCTGCAAACCAGGACCTTTCACACTTAAGGAGATGGTCTGTGAAGTAAAATTGAAATTAAAGGTTCAAACACTCACCTTTTTGTATGTAATTACTTATACAAATACATAAAACTATCTAAGTGCACATTTATACACATATGCTTTAAACCAGCAACCTCCTGCAATTTTAAATAGGAAGTCCAATTTTTATATGCACAGAACTGTGATACAAAATTGATTTTAACAGTCCACATACACTTTGCATAGTGCAAAATATTACGTACACATGAACTGGATTCACCAGTGTTTTATTTGAAGAATACTTACAAAAAATGCACATGTACAGGTATTTGCCACTAAATATTTGCAAGTCTTACCTCAGTGCTAACAGTGCATCCTTCCTTCACACTGTTTCTCATTCTGATTTCTATTTCATTTCTCAAAGCTGCAAGCTGTTTTGAGAAAAGAAATATATCAAATATAGAAGTCCTTATAATTGTGACAGAAGAAAAATAAACATAATTTAACAAGTTTACTTTGAATTAAGATCTCTCTTTATAAATACCATCTCAAATGTATGTTGAATAACTAAGCCGGGTAAACGGGTTGCTAAATGAGAGATTACCTGCAGACTATCACATAATCCAAAAATGTCTTGGCACAAGAACTCCTTCTGTATCTTACCCACTTTAGTGCCAGCCAAAAACCACACTAAGAGATAATTTAGTAATTAATATAATGCCTTGTCCCACTATATATATTTCACTCTAATTAAACATGGGCTAACATCTCACAAAGATAAAAATTTTTTTCAGAGAATTAATAAAAGTCACATTAACTTCCAGTCACTTCTTTATACTTACATCCTCTTCCTTGGTCAGATCAAATTCCCGAGAGCTGTCTTTGAATAAAGCCACATGGTGGGGACCTTCACTAAGGGTTACCTAAACAGTAAAAGCCTTGTATGAGAAAGTATGGCAAATCTAACACAGAGAAACACAAGATGTAGATAGCATATGCACACTCCCCATTGGAGACAGACTACTATATATAACGTTTATTCAGCAAGCTACTACTTACAGCAGAAACTACTACTCTGATAGTATATATGCGTCTGATAGTGTATATAGGTCTGAAGCAGTTTTGTCACTGACTGCATCAACTTGTTTAGAAGCCATTTTATAACTTAATGTTTACATATATTTCAGTTAATGGCTTAATCAGAGGGAGAACAATATCAGCAAATATTGATTCAGAGATCATATTTCTTACCTTAACAGGGGAACGTGTCATCATCTCCCCAGACCCTCGAGGAAATATGCGGGCTTGGGCGATCATTTCTAACACACTGGTTTTTCCTGCACTTTGATCTCCAACCACCACCACCTTAAGTGAAAGTTTAAACAGCCATTGGCTTTCAGCAGGATAATTCAGAAGCTTAGACAAAAGCTGGCTAAAAATATATTAATCCGTAGCAACACTGGCTGTACGATGTTTGACAATAAATGTATTGGTTTAAACATTAAATCCTTTAAAAAATACTAACTTTTAGTCATGCAAAAAAATTGACTTGCTCTTAAGACAGCAGTCTACTGCCCTACAGACCTAACCTGCCAGGCCACCTAATGAAAAGAGGAAAGGCTTGCTGTTCTCTTGGCAGGCATTTCTTCTCTTCTTGTACAAAATCCTCTCAGCAGGTGAAACACTGAAGACTACTCATGCACTTTTACCTGGACAAGGCTGAATTCTGATGTAGTTGCTGTGATGTAACAATCTTATTGGCCTTCTATAGAAGCCACCAGTGCTACAGGTGGCTGCGCAAGCGGGAAGAATTCCTGGCTCTCCCTTATACCAGCAATGAGGCTAGCCAAATCCCTTCTCACACTCACCCCTCTAACAGCAGCACGACTGTGGGGAGGTTAGCCAGGCAACTTACCTCCTCCGCTCCACATGTGGAAAACAACAGTCATTTACAATGCTGAGAAGGCTGGGGTGCCTGGTCCAAAACCATTTAAAAATAAAAGCTAAGCACAGCAGCAATATCTGTAACTAGACAGGTTTTTATCTATGAGCCAAGACACACTAAAAAGAATTACAGTGGTTATTCTCAAAATTCTCTTGCTGCATTTAAAATTGAGAGTGTATCTTACGCAAAACCTCTGGAGTTACAAGAAAATAGCCTAGAACTAGCTCTGGATTATTCTGGAATACAATTGTTATACTCAATTATAAGACCGGTGTTTCACTTAAAAAAAAAAAACAACTGAACTTTTTTTATCTACTTACTCGAGGCAGGTGATCTTGAGTGTTGTAACTGGCATCGTAATCAGACAGGATGTCGAGTACCTCAGAATACATATCAATCAAGGATTTCTAGGAAAAAAATTGTACAGAGAGAAAACGTAACCAATTAACAGAACAAAGACTGGTTTTCAGTCTACTTCATGTGTATATTCTATAAACTCATCTGTAAAAATGTATTTATTTTCTCCTGATGGCTTGAAACCTAAACTGTCTATACAGCAGAAATCTCTGTTTTATGAAGTATGATACCAAGCAAAGCCACCCATTCTCTTCTCTGGATGAAAATACTGCAGATGCATCTTGCTGAATAAGCAAAATGAGGGGTCTTGTACAGAACAAAACCACTCAGGGTTCAGTTTCCAAGTTGAGAAGCCAAATTGAGTTTCCTACATTAAACATCTACACTTGCATTTTCAGCTTGAACAGTAAGTGTTAATAAGGGTATAAAACTATCAACCTCATTCTGTACAAGCAAGAACACTTTATCTTCCAGTTCACAGAGGAAAGAGGAAGATGCATATTGGTCAGTGATGCAGATTGAGGTAGAAAGCATCCATTTTTAAAATGCTCAAGATGTTGGCAGACAAAAGCAAAGAATACTTAGTTTGATCCCCCTGGATTTATACAAGGCTGTTAAAACATATTTCCGAACCCTGTAAGTATATTTCTACTGAACACAGCAAGACCTATGACAAAACGCTGTGTGTGTGAGGAGCTGGAAGTATATCTATTAGAAAATACACTGAAGCTACATCAAAAATCTAATCCACATTTCCCACTCACTTAGGTAAGTTATTTATTTAGACATGGTAACCTCATTGTGCTCTTCAGCTGAAGCCATTTCCAATAGTTAAAAAAAGTATAAAAACCTTAACATGTCAAAAAGTTAGCAAAGATAGAAAAAATGTTAAAAGTTAATCTATGAATTAACTACAGTTTAGAATAGCATCATGAAAAATGTGGCATAATTATATTTCAATGTGATTTGTGACTCATGAGTACCTTTAACTTCCTCTGATGAATTCCCTTGTCATCTCTTTGCAGTACCAATTTTCTTAGTTCTTTGTTCTCCTTCTCTAATCGCTCGAGCATTCTTTGATATTTGAGCTACAAAACAATGGTACAAATATACTTTTGTAATTACAGAAACACTACACTCACATGAGCAAGTTCTTCAGGCAAGTATTTCAAAGATATAAAAAACCTTTGTCACCACTACAGTTTATTAAAAAAACCAAGATCATTAAGAGAAGAATGTTGGACTTTTTTTCAGCAACACAACACCTTTGCTTAAAAAGTTTTAATAAGACCACAGTGTTCAGATCTAAGGATACATAAATCAATCTTTAACCATCTTAAACGAGTACCATTTTCAAAGGAGCTACAGATCGGCACTCAGACAGAAATTAGTGTCAGTGGGAACAGGCTGCTCAACCAAAAAGATTGTAGGGGTTCAATTTGAATTTGCAAGCTTAGTTTAGACCCTTTCTTTACTCTCTCTCTATATATGTATATATGTGTATGTGTATATATCTCTCTCTCTGAAGATGAGACATTAATATAGTTCCAATATCTACTCTGAAAACTGTTTTCTATGATGTAACAATGTATTTGGCATGTGTACTTTATAAAACACATCAACTTTCAAGCTGTTACAAAAAAAAAAATTGCCTTAAAAATATTAAATATATAAAAATATTACAATATCAAAAAAATAAATGCCTTAAAAATAATAAATATATAAAAATGTTACAATAATATTAAAAATTCCTACCAATAGCTGTCATTGCTGTTCAAATTTTCTAGGTTTTGATTTACTGAAAAGGACATCACTTTGAACAGCACCATCCTCTTTAGCTTCTTAAAGGGATTAAATGTTCTCTTAAATCCCAAACAGAAGGCAGAGAAAGAGCTTTCAAACTACCCACATTAATTTTCATGCTAAATAGTCCAATCATAAAAACAGCTGTAATTGAAAGAACTACTCGCTGCTTCACAATACAGATATTCATGGAAGAAAACAAAACCAATGCTTTGCTACCCGTGAATGCCACTGAATGTCTCACCCCACATATCCTATATGATGCCTATTTTTCCACCTGGACCTCTGATGAGTCAGCAAATGCACTTAAAAGCTTCTTTACTAGAAATGACATCTCCTAAGATTAAAGGGTTAAAATGTAACTCCTTAATAAGTAAACTAATTTCCTTTCTGCAACAAACGTGCTATTGAAACATATAAGCTATCACAGATATATTTAGTAGTACTGAAATGATGATAAAGAGAGTAGTAGAATGTTACGAGTAAAATTAGCACGCATAACAACTTAAGAACTGGAATCGCACCACTGTATTTATGTAACACTCTTGGGCTAACTATACATTTCAGGAATATATAGCACTGAAGGCAAGGAAGGTATTTAGAGAAAGTAAGATTACACATTTGCCCTATTCTTACACTCCCTCCTTGCATTCTGACAGTCATTGTCACAGAAAGAACAGACTGGACTGACCTTTGGTTTGTGCTAGCAGTCAACTCCATATTGATAAGCTCAAAGTTTGAAAAAAGCACTGCATTTTTATCAGATCTGTTCAGGTGTGCTTTTGTCTAGTAAATCTCAGTCTGCTGCACACAAATTTCCTCTTAAGACATCAGTAACTCAGAAAAATTACCTGAGTACGTAAAAGTTCTTCTTGAAGTTGATCAATCTTCTCTTTGTCAGAAATCTACAAAGAAAAATAATCATGTCTACTAACTCACTGTTTAGTTTATCCACTGCAAGAAACCAAATCACAAACTGGAAGCTTAATTTCATGTAAGAAAACTGACTTTAAAAGCAAGAAAATTCTTCAATTAGCATTTGAGATTTAACTCTGATGGGAAGTCCCATCTTTCAAATTAAGAAAAAGATGTCTGAAATCAATACATGCAAATGCAAAAATTAACCCTTCAAGACTTAAAACTGGAAAAGCAAACTTAGGGAAAAACAAACACTACATGGTGCTCAGTTTTCTGTTAACTACCCTAAATTTAATTTTTGTTGTCAAACTCTGAGGATTTTGTATGTTCATTTCCTGAGTTAGCAAAATCTGAATAGGATATAATCACTAAAACACCTGCTTGCTACAGAATACTTCCAGCTAAGTATTTATTATTTCTGAATCTTCAAAGGATTCTTATTTTGTATTTGTTTTTCTGAATTATAATACTAAACATGCATGCATAACTTCATAATCTGTAGTTAGGACAGTCTTGAAGGGTTATTTTAAAATATTTAAATTATACTAAAGCGTGGAAAAATTAGGATATTATAATACAAACATTTTGAGGTTCAAGGCATAAGTGTAGTAAGGTAAGGCAATTAGAGCCATTCTTAGTCAAATATTCTCAAAATAGGTTCATCAAGATATAATAAGTTGTTCAAACTTCTTTTAATAACACAGAGGCAAAAGCACAAATGGTGCGATACAGTGTCATATGATATAAATATTTACAAGCAACATAAATTCTGATGGTTGACTAATTAAATATTAAATTTAGAAAACTAATAATCTGAAAGAACAATACAGGCAAAAGCTTCAGTATTTAAATAAAGCTCATGTGACATTTACAACTCAAGTTAGCTTCACATCAGAAAGCATATTATCTATCACGCAGAGGACAGCTGTCATTTAGACACAAATCAATTTAGATACTATAATTTCACACCAATTGTTACACATTAAACAAGAAAAAAATCCACAGTTATTCACAGTGATTTATATTATTTAGCTATTAAATCTGTAATACACAGAATTGTGCATTCATGAATACATGAAGAATTCATTTCATAGAAACCAAACCAAACCAAGCTGACACTCCCATATATATATAAAGTATTTTCTTCTTCACAAACAACAAAGAGGAAGTGCTGTAAACTGACTTCCTGTCCACTTCTGTTAATTAGTTCAGTGATAGCAAAAGCACATCAGAAACAGGGTTAGTTTAGCACACGGACAACTTGATGCATGCAGCCACAAAGTCGTATATGTAAAGAAGCATTTACATATACACACACCTTAAACACCTCAGACACATAAGGGTAAAATAAAAATAGGAGGGCAAAGAGGATGGGATGGAGAGTCAGAAGCAAGAAAATAAAGGAAAAAACAGAATACAGATTTTCAAAGCAGTTAGCATTTTCTTGGTCTTTGCTCTTAAGCAAGCTGTTCCTCAAAGTACTTCTGAGGCCTCGATGCATCTTTGAAGTACAGATTATAGACACGTTACCTCTAACCACAAGAGTGCTTTTATGTACAGTAAGCAAAAATATTGCAGAGCAGGTTGCAAGATCTGAAGTATTATCTAGAATTATGTAGCATTAGATGATTAATTCTAACAAGGACAACTAGGTAAGTTCTGTCAAAAATAATAAACAGCTCTAGAATTATGTATATGCTCCAGCATTTGGTTCAGGTGTGCTTTGCATGTTAGTACATGCAGTAATTTGAACATACAATTCATACTACTGCTAAAAATTTTTATGTTGCCAATAAAAGCTAAACTATCGTAACAACCTGAAAGTGCTAAATCATATGACTAATCTATAATTTCTATTCACAAAAAAATTTAAAAAAAATCAAATATCAAAATGTCTCTTTATAGGCACATCAATATTTGTTTAATTCAGTTCAGTTTGGTTTGTACGTCAAGATTCCTCCCTCTTTCCCCATTGCCACCATAAAGACTTACAAGAAAAGAAAACTCTAGGGCCCTTTATTAATCAAGGGCTGCTGCATAGAGATGTAGGTACCTCTTTACTAAGATTACCGAAGCTCCTTATGCACATTTTGCAGTGGTTGCTTTCCAACAACCTTTATCACACATTGTATAAAATAACTATGTGCCTCTGAAAATTCAGTGCCTCTGATACCCCACTTATTGGTTTTGTATATTTTCTAATCAGACTATAAAAATTCTAAATTGATCATCTACAAAAAACTACAATGATTTCCAGCAATACAAATTAAAGCATCTAGGCCCAGACAAAATGCATGTAGTAAGCAGCCATGCACACAGCAGCTATACAAGGCTAATCAATTATACTGCTAAATATTTATCAAAAGGTTAGGAAAAAAAAATTAAAAAAAAAAAAAAAAAATCAAAAGCAAACAGTTACATTTTTGTTTTTAATAACCTCTCCTGGCTGTGAGGCTATTCTTACCATTATTTACTTTACAAATGAAGTAGGTTTAATACTGAGTAAATTAAAAATGGAAAACATGCAAGTAAATTGGGCAACAGAACTTCCAAGAACAGAAATGAAATTATCATGTTCTCCAGCAGACAAGCAAGCAAGCCAACTCAGCTAAAAAATAACAAGGTTAGTTTATGTCCTGTCAAAAGGGCATGCGATGACTTATTTTAATGACACTAACAATTTCTTCCTCCATAGGCAATTTGGATCAATGTCTGGAATCTTGAAGTTATATTCTCATATCAAAATATTAAACAAAATAGTTTTCAAACAAAATTGAAATTTCTTTCAATTTGTTTCAAGCAAAATTATTAATGTGACAAACAAGACACATTTCTTGTCATCAGGCATGTATGCCAAACAGCACATTTGAATGCTAAATTAAAACTCTCTATATACAAGGAAAGTCAGACTTCCAACATCCAGAAAACACAGAGTACCTGCCTTAGAGGACATTTACAAAGACAGCCCTTACAGTTATGTCACAGCTTAGGAATCGCAGAATTAGTTGCAAGAAAGCACTCACAAGGTAGAATTTCACTGGGAAATAAATATAATATCAAGCTCACTTTTTTCCAGAGTGCATTTATTAGGCTGATACATTTTTATATATTGAATATTGTACTGCCTTTCCAGTCATTTTTACATCCTCACACATTTTATTATAAACTTCAAGCTACTATTCTGTACTTCCGCTCCCTCAATGAACTGTGTACAATCTTTGTAATACAATGCCTAGATCCATAACTGAGGACAGAATACATCACTGTTCTTTTAAATCCAGACAGAATATTAATTAATAAATTTTACAAACGAAATATGAGAAAAAATTGCCTTTCACCTTTTTCTTGTTTGTTCTAATTAAAAGGAAGATTAACAGATTAGAGTGACCAGGGTTTGTAACTCTAAACCATAAAAAAATAACATAGCAAGGAAGTAAAATATTTGAATTTATGAATGCTACTGTCGTTTCAGAGAACTGTGATTTCCTTTTTTTGTTGACAGACTACAAAGCATGACAATTGCAGCTATGCAACTATGTCTAAAAGTTTAATTCACATCTGTGTTCCTCTTTCTGTGGGAGATATCTTGAGATGCACAGAAGATAAAGCTCTGTATGCAGTGTTCAATTCCAAAGCTGCTGAAAAATATGAGCACTCAAAAAGACTTTCTGGGGCACAGAAGCAGTGAAAGCAGCCATGTTGTTAAGAATTACAGGTTGTAACAGATTAGACAAGTAAAATATCCCAATTTAGGAAGTTCTTCCAATTCATCTGAGTTGTATAATAATGAATAAACTGATCAGAGCTTAAACTAAGTAAAATTACATACAGATGATGAACAACTAAAGCATATCAGTATAAATTGTCCCTTAAGAGGGAAAACAGACAGAGGAATACCTTTGATAAATAGATAGTAAAGACTATTAATAACAGCAGTATTTAACTGTCCATGCAAAAATGTTTCTAAGGAGCTGCTGTAATTTTCAGGTTGGTAACAGTACAAAGCAGGAAAAAACATTCCCAGAAACATACTGTCTGTAAATACCTATACTCTTATAAACAGAGCTACTGTTAAGTAAGCAACAGTAGAGAAGACACGACATTTATTCACATACTTTCCTTAAATGCATTTTTAACGCATGTACTTTAAATAACAGATTTTATAGGGGCAGAGAATATACAAGTTCAAAGCGACACAAAGTACCTGCTCTGCTTTTAACACCTTGCTTTAAATACAACTTGGTTAAACTGAAACAGGCCTATACATCTTTAGTGAAGTTGGTGGTAATAATTATTTGAGCCCATGACTTAATTAGTTAGATTTTTCTAGCTCAAATGCAGGAGGCTGAAGTATCTGATTAGCGTGAATACAGTACACATTTTCCCTTAAGCCATCACCTTTCGCTTCTGCTGGGAAGAGCCCATGTTATATTGGCCACCGGCTCTGCGCGCTTCCTCTTCGTGCTGCTGGATTTGTTGTTGTAACAGTATGAGTTCACCAAGCAGGCCCTGCCATGAGTTTACAATAAAAAGGAGAGGAAAAATTTGGGGTGTAAGGAGAACAAAGTTAAACCAAAGGACATGACAAAGACAAATGAAAACCAGGTATGAATGGGTCAGTTCAAATAAAAGTGAAATTTTGTTAGCAAGATCGCTTGCTAGCCAGCTGGGTGTGGATATAGTCGGTGAAACCATGCATTTTGCAAATCCAGGTAGAACAGAACAATAAACATTTTAGCTACATTTTATAATTATATTCAACTTTAACTAAGCAGCTAAACCTTCAATTCAACTATCCTGGTTTTAAGCTATTCTCTGAGGTTTCAGAATTTTTTTTCAATTATTCATGCCAAAAATTCTCAGCAGTTTTTCACAACTTAACCATATATGTATATAAATAATGTGGTTTGGATATTCCACACAAAGCTGTGCACAACAGCTAACAGACTCAAATTTGTCAGCAACATAAAAAAAAAATCACATTTTATTCTTATTCTCAGCAACACAGGCAGTTTACAGAAAGATGATTTTGCCTCCTACTTCAACTTCTCAAACTAGAAAGCCAAAGTAGTTTCTAGAGCATAAAGAAAAAGCTCCCCCTCTACTGCTGTAACACTGCAGTTTAAATTCATGCTGCCATAGTACTTCCTGATCATTTCAAAGTCCCTGAAACATAATGCTTACACATGTACTTCAGCCTTTCTGTCAAGCTTAGTTCTCTTCTCCATCCACACCAAATACTCTTGTAATGGTAAACTGTCTTTCAAAATTAGTTTAGAGATACTATGCCAGCAGCTACCAGAGACTTTATGTGCAATTTATATCAGAGAACGTAGACAAAAGTATTAATGAATTATTTAAATAAAGCTAATTAAAGAAAATATTCAATCATCTAAGAAAACACTTGGGGAAATGCAAGGTTTCAAAAATGCACTTCAGGAATCAAAACAAACCCTGAAATAGAACTTTGGTGTAAGAATTCAAGACACCTGCCATCAAGTTACACATCTAGCATAAGGTGTCCCTGCCCATGGGAGGGGGGTTGGAACTAGATGATCTTAAGGTCCTTTCCAACCCTAATTATTCTATGATTCTATGATTCTATCTGTTGCATGGAATACACAGGCATGTACACATAAGGATAAACAACACAGAGAATGGATAAAAGAAGAGAGACAATCAAATGAACAAATACAAACACCTGTTAAATAGTGATTTTGTGTAATATTTCAAGAATAGAAAAATCTTCACATTCGTATTTCACTGAACCACTTTAAGATTTAATAAATTTCTATACTGCCAGACTAGCAAAGGCATTAGAGCTGTGCCAAGAACTCAGCCAAAAGATTTAATTCCTACACACCAGCAAGGAGAGAGCTCACTGTTATATTCAGTATTAGAGAAGGAATAATAATCTCTTGCCATTTTGCACACAAGGAAACTTTCAATAAATACGACCTGAGAAGAGTCCCTTTAAAAATTGTGTTATGGTTCAAGAAAATAGAAGAAAACACACTGAACAAAGCCTTCCATGAAGGCCTTTTAGCACTTAAACAGGAACTGTAACAAATGTTTGAAGTCACCAAATCTAACTATCTAATGTGCAGTTAATAAAATACTAAAGTAAGAAATACAGTAATATAAGAGGCTTCTCAGTAACACTTCTTTGCATATATCAGTCAATAATCTTATTCACTCTGTTTGCTATTTCTTACTTTACAGGTTAGAATTAAAAGAATAAATAAATTGAAGAAATATAAAGAACCTTAAATAACACAGAACTACACACACACAACAACCAGGCTGGTATGAACCAAGACACAAACAAAAATGTTTGTTTTTTGCTGTCTGTCTCTCACTGGACACTACCACTGTTTCGTCCCACAGAAAGTAATCACTCCAGTGTAAAACTGCATTTACTTTAAAGAATTTTATCTAGACAAATAAATTAATGTGATTTCAAAACCCCAGCTGTTTACACATATATTATTATTTTTGTTACCAAAGAAACTATGTGAAGAGAGTAACACCAGCTGACAAACACAGTGGCATAAATCCTGAAAGTCATCAGAGAATCTGGGTGCACAATAAAGGCAAAACAAGTGCTGATATCGTCACTGCATATGCTTAAAAAAAAAACAACCCAAAACAAAACAAAAAACAAACCACAAAAACCAACCCATAAATCCCACAACAAAACCCAAAACATTCTCTTAAAGTTAATAGGCTGTATTTCAGTTGAGTATGACTACCTCTTTAATTTAAAACTCTCATGACTAAAGTATTTGTGTTGCATTTTGATAAGCAACCACACCCCTCTCTTTTTGCATATGGCGACTCTTTCCCCTTTTCCCCAGTAGCTGCAGTGTGACTATTCAGAAGAAAAGCTAAGCCATAATGAGTTCTCACAGGAAAAAAATGTTGAGGGATGTAAAGGAGTGAAAATGATGAGGAGAGTAAAGAGATCAATTTCTAAGAATTTGAATAAATGTCACAATTTTATCCAGAGTACCTACAAACCTGGGAATTAAGTTGGGAATACAACAGCGCTACGAATCGAAAAAAGAAACTTTATTGCATAACATGCAAAAAGAATGAATCAAACGAGAACGTTAAAAAAAAACCCAAACAACAAAAAAACAACCAAGTCAAGGAATTCTTCTTAAAAAAAAAAAACCTTCAAAAGTCTCTTTTTCACCCTCTAGCAGTAGCTGTAGTGAAGAACTGCACAATTACTGTGCTGCTTACACTGAGTGAAGGTGACTCTGTGCTGGCTGAGCGAGGCAGTCTACACACTGCCAAATCCTCAACAGTGGATTCAGGTTCAAGCCATGAAATCTTATCAAAGCACCAAAGGCAGGGAAAGGACTGTGTGGTTGGTTTTGAATTATTTAGTTATCTGACTTCTAATTCCCAAATCAATACTCGAGTCATATTTTCCACACACACTTCATCACAGCTATAACCACTATTTTATATATATATATATATATATATATATGCATATATAAAAATATAAAATATATATTTTAATTGGGCTAAACTTTGGAATTTGTTTGCTTTAATAGGAAGCTGAAATTGTGGAGGAAATTGTTTTGGAGACAGACAATATTGCAAGATAATTTTCTAAGAAGTTAACATTGCCATTTGAAGTGCAAGCCTGAACTAGTCCAACCCATACAATACAATATTTTTACAACACTATAGCTTTTATAACTAGCCATTTTAATTTTTTTCAAAAAATTGTGCCATTTTTATTAAATAAGAGATTATAAGATAAATACATTAGCTAGCAAGAAGCACTACAGCTTGATTTGGTGTCTGGGACAACGTTCACTCTCTCAAAGTTATCTTCCCAACTTACTAGTTTCTCACTCATTCTACAGGAAGTGTTTAGAGATCCATCTGAGGACCGTGCCAAATAATAGTTCTACAGAACATTCCTCCAAAGAGGAATTCCTAGATTCCTTTATCAGTTACTGATCTTTTCCACAACTGAACAAAGAAAACCAGCTCATCAGACACATTTAATGCCATGCTACAGCACTTTATATATCCATACAGAAACAACTCTTAAACTAGCATTAGTTGGCAGTGGAAAGCATTGAATGAAAAAAGGCCATCTAACCCATTGTCTTGAAAATAATAATTTTGCTTGCCAATAAACTGATTATGCTTTGTTAGGAACTCATATGTGCCTTTTGTGAAATGTTATGACCAAAACTGATCATATTAATTAGCAAATGGACACTTCCAAGCATAACATACAGGATATAATTGGAATAGCAAAAATTAATACATTAGACTAAATTTTCTAAATCATACTGCCTTATTGTACTGATATTTTCCATACCACAGCCAAAGTTTTGTTGGCAAAATTCAAATGCAGTTGCCACTGCATCAAAACCAGCCCATAATAAGTAATAGTGATATTACTGGTATTCAGTAAAAATCTCAGTTAATTTAGTTTTCAAAGACAATAAACTAAGATGGCCACTTCTTCACAAATCAATAGTACAGTATTTTTTATGTTTTAAACTCTGAAACCTGTACTAAGCAATCACTCAGTGGAAAATAATATATATAGACAGTTTACTGACAAAGGGGAAACAAAAAGCCAATTCTCATCACTGTTCTAAAGGGAAAAAAAGCAGTTACAGGTGAGCATTATAGAGGTTTCACTATATAATGCCATGCAGAATTAATGTAGAATAAACGTATACATGCCTGCATATACAAAAATGTCTTTTACGTAAAAGCCTGAGTTATAGTTCAGACATTTTCAGTTGCAAAAATAGTTACAAATTCCCAAGTATATATTTTCTTCAACTTGTAAAAAGACATTTTAAAAACATACCCAGGAAAAATGAAAGGCCTTTAAACAAAGAGCAACATTACAATTTAGGAATTTAATAGAAATAGGATCAATTAAAAAAAATTAAACTTCACCTTCTTATCAAAATACAGTAGCATATTTTTCCAAGATATAGTAACAAAAATGTGATGTACGCTCTACCTAAAGAAAGTAAAAAGACAAACTGCTTTAAGAAACTGAAATTCTTTGTAAAGGCAAAAATCCTTAAGTAAGAATCACAACCATGAAAATATCAACAAGGCTGCAAGCAGAGATGCCTGAAAATATCTATAGAAGCCTACACCAACTTCGGTAATAAGCTACAAGCTTAAGTGCCACTGAGAACATGCCCTGAGAAATGCAGATGCACACAAAATACCCAAAATAACATTCTTACTACAAACCAGTTTTTCTTAAGAATGTCCTTCCTACAGATTTTTATGTCTGCTTTTTATTTTACTTACACCAAAACATTCATTATCATTGTACTCTTTATATATCAAAACCAACAATGCATACTCAAATAATTTTGAGTGACAAATGCTATTCACGCTGCTTCAAATAAACATCCACAACTAGCTACTGAAGCACTTTAAAAAAAAAATTTCCTTTAGTCAAGACATTTTTAGTTTTGAAAGAGAGTAATTACCTTCTTGAACTGTTTGTCATTGTCGTATCCCTGGTCAGTAGCTCTGAATGCTGTTTCCCCTGGAGAACCTAGGACATAATTACAGAAACTCATTATAATACGCAAAAGGTACTTAAAAATTCTCAAACTACACCTACTATAATATTGAAGTTTCAACCCCTATGTATTATTAATTCAATAATCTTTGAAGTTCCTATTAAAAAAAAGATTTATCTTAAACTGCAAAAGAAATTCTGTTTAAAACTCGTGAAAATTTTATATCATGTTTGTGACTCAGATTAGTTACATCACAAGGCAGCTTCAGTTAGACTCTAAGTTCTGAAATAATTTCAAATTAATTAGTTCCGATAAACATGAAAGGATAATACAAATTCTCTTGGCATTACTGTAATGAGAAAAAAAGTAATATTCTTTTTATTGTAATGACAGAGATTTTCAAAACAAGCTTCTGGAAAATGCCTGAAATAAAAAGCCTCTGCTAATGACTGTGACAGAGAAGTGACAACTATTAATTTATTTATTCTCCCAGGGAAGGAACTAAGTATTTCTAAAACAGTTGGAAAGTATTTGTAAATCAATTAAACTGATGTAAATATTTGTGTTTACATTGATATTCACTCCTCTTAGTACAGTAGGGTTTGAAGTTTGCTTTAGAGAGGCAGGTTAAGGGCAGTAAAAAGGGCTTTTACACACCTAACAACAGAAGTAGATCAGAAGCTCCTATGACTTCACTAACCAAATTGTAACCTGTGAAAAATCAGCAGAAGAGGGGAAATAAAAATTATAAATACAAAACAAAATGCAAACAAAGATGAGAGATCTTTGTTTCATTTGGAGGACCACACAATCATAAATGGCAACTATGCCCAGGGGAGAACAGTAACACATAATAGGTGACATCTCACAACACCAGTCAGTAACACCATGATTTTAAACAGCCAAAACACATAGAAGATCATAATGTACTTGTCACTCTGTTGAATCTGATCCCTACTTAGGCGCTTGCTGAGTTTGTGAGATTAATAAAGTAGTTCCACCATTGACAGTACTTTAAGAAAATGAAAATACACTTCTAATGTACACTAATAGGGAAATATTTTTGAAGACACTAAGAGCAGTGACTATAACACCTCACAGACATAATCCTTTACAAATACAGTAATTCTTAAGGTATATAAGAATATATATTAAGGAATAATCTTGCTTTTTATTACAAGACGACTGGGCGAAGTTTTGAGTTGGGGCCATTAGCAAGTTAGAGATGATGATTACATTTCTAAGGTACATTAGACACAGGTACAGACATTTCTAAAAACCCCACCAATCAGAAATGTCTTACTGAAGTCCTCCAAAACCTAGCAGCCATTAAGCCTGATGGAAAATATCATTCAATCCAAAAGAACACCTCTGTTACAAATCTCTTATTTTACATGCTTGTATCCTTAAGAACCATCATTCTTAATAACCTAGCTCTTTACTTCTGCAAAAGCTGTGGTAATGTTACTATCAGTGCCACTCTTACCTTCTCCAGTTTCCAGCTGGACATGCCCAGCTGATTTTTATGACTCACTAAAGTAATCTAGCTTTCAATCTGTTTGTTTAGTTGTACAAGAATTTTACTTTTCTGTTCAATTTCGCATTTTTGTTCTCTTTGCTACTAGAATTCTTGCTTTTAAAAATATATTACACTTACCTGTGTCCATAACACTTTCACACGAGATATTCAATGAAAAGTCATGCATTTTCAGGATCCGCTTTCTTTTAGTGTCTAAGGACATATCTGTAACCTCACCTTGTAACAGCTTATGTTTCCAAAATTAAAACTAAGCTGAAAAAATGTTCTCACCAGGAGAAAAAAATCCTTTCAGTGAAGTGAAGGTCTCTCCAATCTTGTCAAAGTCAGGCAGAAGTTTGGCAAGGTCATCTGCATCAGGAAGGGCTTTGATAAGTTTTTCTAGGAAAACAGTACAACAGTTAATGAGTAAGGTTTTTTCCCCTACTACTTCTGTGAAGAAAAATGGCTTATGCTATAAAAACTAGCAGATTTTTAATTTATTTACTTTTTAAGTAATGCACCTCCCCCCATTAGTGTTGGGAAAGATTATCAGATCCAAAAAATTGCTTTTTTAGACTTTGAACTTCCTGATAAGTTGGTTGCCTCAGGCAGTTTAAAATTGCCTAAAACTTATTGCTGCATTTCACCACCACATTCCATGTTATTCTCTCACACATTTTGTATAGGATGTTTTAAAATTACACAAAACTGTAACTAAGCTCAACTCTTACATATTTTAACAAAAGCTTATTTTTCAATTTCATAAATAAGCCAATTTTGTAATCCTTAAAAAAAAAACAAACTTATTAGCTTAAAAGTACTTTAAAAATGTACTGTCCCCTAGCAATAAAAACAAGAAAATACTTGTCAGTTATTCAATCTCTGCATTTATCTATACAATGCTCATACATGAAGTAAAATCTTATGCCTTTTTTTTTTTGAAGACCACCACCTCACAACCCTGCATATATAAGTAACTCAGTCCTTGTTTTTCAGATTTCTATCTTTGACCCAAAAATATTAATAAACCTACTGTAACCAGAAGGTTCAGAAAAAGTCTGTATTTACAGTTTTCTTTTCTCCTGCATTTTCAAGATAATTTTGTAAATAGGTAGGTTCACTATTCTGCATTTTCAATTGGTCTTTTACTCATACATATCTTTATATCTTTTACTTATCTATTTATATTTAATACTTGTGTCGTAGGTATAGGAAGAACAAACTTTACGCATACTACCGAAACCTGTGTAAGTCCCCTTGATCATGCTGCATCTCTTCTTTAAATAATAGGATTATATGGCCCTATGAGAGGACCAAGAACATTCTCAAATAAAAGGGTGAATTATGGATTATCAATGCTAAACAACACTTAATCTCTTCCTACAAACACACTAACACAAATACCTTGGTAAAATACATGCCAAACTCTAACAATACAAGTTCACTCAAAGCTATAAAGATAGCTACTGGAGACAGGCACTGAAGACCTGCACCCTGAAGTTTTACATGTGCTAGTCTTTATATAGAGTAACATTTTAGCTTTTCTGATACCAAAGTCAATATGTTCATCAAGCTCCCAAACGAAGTCAGGAACAATCCACTTATATTCATTGAGATCTGGCATCATGTCCTTCCACTGATCATATGTCTAATACAAAAAAGAAAAGAGAATATAGAAGAAATAGAAAAATAAATGTATAGAGAAGCATATAAGAAGTCTATTGAAAAGTAATTCCTACATATAGAACATACTAACCCACCATCTTTCAGCTATGAATAATGCTATTTGGATCTTTTAAAATCTATACTAGTTCTCTATACAACCTTTAATACCTTTACTATTCCCGAAATTCACTCATCTTTATTGTCATTAGTTAACCAAACAACGAGATCTTGTATTTTTGCGTATATACCAAGAACTATTGCTTCAAAGCATATAATAACAACAAAGACAAACATAGAATAGCATAACAGGTAAATACCTTCTTAGCTGTATAACCACCACCTACAGCAGATCCTAATATAAGATAGCGAACTTTGAGAAGCCTTGACGCTAGTCTAGCTAGCCAAAAGTTCCTGTGGAACTGGTAGCCATGTTTTACATTTAAAAGTTTTGTTTTGCGTAGGGGAAGACAATTAAGAGAAGAGAACAGCTTAATGGATATCCTTAATGGAGGTCTTTGAAATTTTGAACTTGGATAGTAGGGATGGTGTATACTTCGGGAAACAAGATGCAAGTTTTGAAGTGCTGATTTTCTTTTTATTCCATAGCTGCTATTTGCAAGACTCCGGCAGATGACACTACAAGAAAGAAACAAAAACTCTAAGTAACAGATTTCCTCAAAACACCATTAACTCAATAACCTCTTTAGAAGTAATTCACATTACATTTTAGCTGGTTACAGATACATTAGAGCATCATTATGAATGTACACCTTCCAGCTACTACCGGTATGCTAACAGGAGAACAAAAAGCTGATGCTTACACCATAGAAGCATAGAGTAGTTAGGGTTGAAAAGGACCTTGAGATCATCCAGTTCTAGCCCTGCTGCCATGGGCAGGGACACCTCACACTAAACCATGTCACCCAAGGCTCTGTCAAACCTGGCCTTGAACACTGCCAGGGAGGAAGCATTCACAACTTCCTTGGGCAACCCATTCCAGTGCCTCACCACCCTTGCAGTAAAAAAATTCCTCCTTGTATCAAATCTAAACTTCCCCTGTTTAAGTTTTAACCCACTACCCCTTGTCCTATCACTACAGTCCCTAATGAAGAGTCCCCTCTCAGCATCCTTACAGGCTCCCTTCAGGTACTGGAAGGCTGCTATGAGGTCTCCACGCAACCTTCTCTTCTCCAGGCTGAACAGCCCCAACTTTCTCAGCCTGTCTTCATAGGGGAGGTGCAAAAAAGTTTCAGAACTTCAAAGCATCAACCTGCTATCTTACGATTACTGAATTACACAAGGAAGAAAAACTAAGTTTTCAAATTCCCATTCTGAGGTCTTTCTGAAGTCACTTCTGCTTCCAAGCAGCACCATGAGAGTCACGGCACTTGGTGTGTGCTCCACGCACCCCTAACTGTTGACACAAACCCTCCTCAGCCTCTCCCAGGAGGCTGCCCACAGCTTCAGCCACCAAGTGCCAGCACCCCATCATAAACATTGTTAATGAGTATAGCATTTCCAGTAATTAGAGAAAAAAACCTGAAATATCACTTATAAAGTCTGTTATAAATTGAATTTAACTTCCACACTGGACTAAGGCAATTAACATGTCTTTGATAAAACACAGTTTAGACAAACAGCAGCTAAGAGTCCACAGAAGACTATGACCAACTTGAAACATAAAACAAAACTTGACATTTTGGACTATCTTGTTATTCAAACTTCTAGAGAGTGTTAATTTTGTACACAATTTTCAAACTTCAAAAAAACAATACACAGACAAAATTCCTTTGCAAAGTACATTTGCTCTTTTTTGACAAAGCAGATTCTCCTCTGGAGCTGAAGCATTTGTTTAATGACATCTTTCAGTTCCTTCCACTATTGCCCAGAGATGTGGATGCTCCAACCCTGGAAGTCTTCCAGGACAGGTCTGATGTGGCTTTGAGCAACCTGGTCTAGTGGAAGGCTGCTGGATGCAAAATATCAGTGAAGTTACAGTTCCTGAAAACAATGCTTGTCGCTTGATTTTTTTTTCAGGGTTTTCAATATTATCAAGTGCATTTACTCACAAAGGGGTTAAACATAAAAGAAGAAAGTGCTTCACACCATTGAGAAGGCATATTATTTATTCAGGAACCCTAAATCATTTAAAATTAACAGAGCTTAAAGAGAGTAAGAGAATCATATGAAACGAAAAATATTACAGAATCTTCTAATAACATGCCCTATAACCTATACAGTTCTTTGTCTTGAGATTTTCTAGAGATGACACTGTCTGTGACAGGCATGTTCTTAATGTCCAAAGAAGTGGAAGACTGTTATAAAAGCAATTTTAAGCCAGAAATGGAGCTTTTGGAAGGTAAGTTAAAAAACAGAATTTTGTGACTGAGATACTTTCCTCTCTTAAAAGACCAATTCTGCCAACGATCTATGTTTAGAAATTTCCCTTAGTGTAACTGAAAGCTTAAAAAAGGGAACTCCTCTGACTGTTATGGAAGTCCATGTTCATAAAAGTCACTATGATTTTGAAGGGTATCCTCTTGCTGCTATATTAAACTATCTAGAGAGCTGTGCTCTTGCAATAACAAACTCAGTATCTAGGAAGAGGATAATAAGCAGGAACAGACTAATCCCTAAATTGGTAACAAGGTCCTCTTTTTTTGACATGGAATAAGAGCCTGGGAAATTAACCACAGATAGTACCAATACCAAAGCGGCTACATAACAATAAAACTTAACAGTGCTTCCACATTGTTTTGTTTCCCAATTTTAAAAAGTGTTTTTAAAATCAGGGGATGGTAAGCCTGTAAAAAGAAAGCTGATGACCAAGACATTATTTCTTTTCTTTTGCAGTCACCACCATTACATAGATATTTAACCTTTTACAGCAGAGACCAAGTAGTATTATATACTATGGCAGCCACTTCTTATTGCTAGTCTTATCTAGGTTAAAAGCATTTGTATTATGGTGTAAGTTTCTTCTCTATGATTATTCTTTTAAAATAAACTGTGTTTTACAACATTCATTCTCCAAGTTTAAACTGAAGGAAAAATTGAGTTCCATCACAAATTATTATTGCAAGAATTTGAACCCTGCTGAACTGCTGAACCCAGGACATCCACAAATGCCTTTTGAGTGCTATCACGTATTTCAAATCCTACCTGCTTTTATTGCACATGTAAGACTATATAATTAATTAAGAAAACCCACTACATCATTATACCAAAAATTCTATTGCTAAAAGCTTCTCATGAATACAGACTAAAAAAATCACATTCAGATCTTCACTGAAAAGTGCACCTACATTGAAGAGGGTGTCAAACAACACTATTAAATATTTCATGAGTTCCAAATATGAAGCATCTGGAAAGCTGTTTTTAACAACTGTAACAAAACTGAACCTTCCAGACATGAGTAGCTCTGGTGTCAGAATCTGCCTAATTTTACAGGCCTGCAACCTGACTACTCTTGCATTGCACTAAGATTACAGATATCTTGTAAAACAAGAAAAAAGTAGCCTTCTACTACTGATATCCAAACATTCCACCTGTAGATCATACCTAATATTTTACACATATTGCCCAAGAAATCTCCGCCTCAGCTAGAATAATTTATTTTTTTTTTAAAGACAGGATATATACACTTTTAAAAGTTATGGCTATTAATTATGACTGCAAAGCAGTCTTTCAAATGTAAACCCGCAAAAAAACACTGTGGTATTTTCTTTCTCATTCAGTACTAGACAACACTTATTTTTGTACTGCTGCTCCTACATCTGTCAGAACATTGTGAGATTAACAGCCATTCAGTTCCACTGCTCCTGTCTAGAATCGTGTGGAATGAAGAGAAACAGGAAGAATGCAGAATAGCTGCCGGGGAGGGCCAACATCTGGACCTGGGGGTGACCCGAACTCTCTAGGGTAGGAATGTAGGAGACGCAGCTCCCTTTCACATAGCACCCCCCGGTTCCCCTGGAGCTGAAGGATGAGGAATTTCCCCGCCCGGGACAAACACACACACACACACACACACACACACACACACACACACACACACCCCACCACCGCCTCGCACCCCGACCCGCTGTGCGGCTCCGGCCTTCCCCGCGGACTGCCCCGTTCTCACGGGTACCTAGGGCCCGCTTAATTGGGGCAGAGGCCCCGCGGTCGGAAGAGGGTCACGGCTCTGGCGTGACCGCCACGCCCCAAGGACCAGGCAGGCCCGCCGCTCCCACCCTGAGCCCTGCTACTGCCCGTCTCGCTCACCAAGCCGCTGCCGCCCGCGTCCGCCACATTCTAACGGCCGGAGGGGCCAGGAGGAGCCGACCGCCCCCCGGCCGCCTACCGGGACTCAGCCGCCGCGCCTGAGGCCCCGGGCTGCCGCGGGCAAGGGCAGGTGAAGCCGCCGCGGCTGCAGGCTGACAGAACTGCCGCCGCTTCCGGGCACCGGGGTCCTTGGCGGCCGCTCCGGCTGGAAATCGCTCCTCCCGGCGCAAAGGTTCCGGGTGCGGCGGCGAAGGAGGGTTTTGAGGCGGTAGCGAGGGGAGATTGCCTGATCAGAAGGAGCGGAGGAGCCGAAGTGGTGTGGTTTTTTCACGCTCAGGTCGTGTGTTCCCTGTGATAAACACATAAATGTATTGGCTTTCGCAAATCATAGGTGTTGTTATGTGGATATAACTGTATGAGTTTGCAAAGCTCGCTAAAGACACACTATAAGACAACAAGTTGAAAATGGCCAGAACTCTTGAGCAAAATGGAGTCACATAGCAAAAGAATTTGTAAAGGTAAAAGAAAAGGGGGGGGGGGGGGGAGAGAGAGAGAGGGAGCTTGATATAAGAAAAGTCTTATTGGATCCCTGAATGCTAACCCTAACCCTAAACCTAATGTAAGCCACAACCCTAGAGATGAGACCTACATCCCCAGCACTATGGCTGGCCCAAATAAGAAAGGTGTGTAAGAAGTAATACTGGATCTATGCTGAGCTGCCCGTGGCATGCCTCTGAAAGCCCTGGTGTCCTTGGAGCTGTAGTCTTTTAGGATCTCTGAATGCTAGCCCTAACCCTAATTTAAGGCGGCACCATAGATATGAGTCCTACATCCCCAACGCCATGGCTAGCCCAAATGAGAAAGCTGTGAAAGGAGTAATATTGGTGCTGTGCCACACTCTTCTTGGAATGCCTTTTAAAACCCCGGTGTCCCTGGAGCTATAGTCTTTTTGGATCTCTGAATGCTAAGCCTAAACCTAATTTAAATCAACAAGATAGAGTTGAGTCCTATATAAATTGCACCAAGGCTCACCCAAGTGAGAAATGTGTGTAAGGAGTTATATTCATGCTGTGCCACACTTCTCTTGGCATGCCTTTTGCAGCCCCAGTGTCCCTTGTGCTATAATATTTTTAGATCTCTGAGTGCTAACCCAAACCCTAACCCTGATATAAATCCTACATCCCATGTACCATGGCTGCCCCAGATAAGAAAGGTTTGTAAGGAGTAATGCTGGTGCTTTGCCACATTCCTCTTGGCATGCCTTTTACAGCCCCAGTGTCCCCGGAGCTACAGGCTTTTTGGATCTCTGAATACTAACCCTAACACTATAAATTTAGTCGGCTAGCTAGAGATGAGGCCTACATCACCGGTGCGATGTCTGGCCCAAATAAGAAAGTTGTGGGAGGAGTAATATAGGTGCTTTGCCATGCTCCTCTTGGCATGACTTTACAGCCCAAGGTTCCGTGGAGCTATAGACTTTTTGTATCTCTGAATGCTAGCCCTAACATTAACCAGAATTTTAGTCGGCACCCTAGAGATGAGGCCTACACCCCCAGCACCATGGCTGGCCCAGATAAAAAAGGTGTGATAGGACCACTATCGGTGCTTTGCCATGCTCTTCTTAGCTTTCCTTTTACAGCCCAAGGTTCCCTGGAGCTATAGTGGGTTTGGATGTCTGAATGCTAACCCTAACTCTAATTTACATCAGCAACATAGAGATGAGGCCTACATCCCTTGCAACATCCCTGGCCCAAATTAGAAAGGTTTGTTAGGAGTAATATTGGTGCTGTGCCATGCTCCTCTTGGCATGCCTTTTACAGCCCCAGTGTCCCTGGAGCTATAGTCTTTTTTTGATGTCTGAATCCTAACCCTAACCCTAATTTTAGCCGGCACCCTAGATGTGAGGCCTACATCACCGCACCATGGCTCGCCCAAATGAGAAAGATGTGGAAGGGATAATATTGGTGCTGTGCCACATTCGTCTTGGCATGCCTTTTACAGCACTAGTGCCCCTGGAGCTATAGTCATTTCAGATCTCTGAATGCTAACCCTAACCCTAATCCTAATCCTAATTTTAGACAACTCCCTAGAGGTGAGGCCTACATCCCCAGAACCATGGCCTGCCCAAATAAGAAAGGTGTGGAAGGAGTAATATTGGTGCTTTGCCATGCTCCTCTTGGCATGCCTCTTAACACCATACTGTCCTTGGAGGTGGAGGATTTGAGGATCTCTGAAAGCTAAACCTAACTCTAATTTGCATCTGCAACTTAGAGGTGAGGCCTGTATCCCTTGCACAATGGCTGCCCCAAATAAGAAATGTGCGGAAAGAGTAATATTGGTGTTGTGCCATGCTCCTCTCTGTATGCTTTTTACAGCCCAAGTGTCCCAAGATACACTTTACAGCCCAAGTGTCCCAAGACGTCTTTTAGGATCTCTGAATGCTAACCCTAACAATAACCGTAATTTTACCCATCTCCCTAGAGATGGGTAATCTCCATCCCCAGCACCATGGCTGGCCCAGAGAAGAAAGGTGTAGAAGGAGTAATATTGGTGCTGTGCCATGCTCTTCTTGGCATGCTTTTTACAGCTCCAGTGTCCCTGGTGCCATAGTCTTTTTCGATCTCTGAATGCTAAACCTAATTCTAATTTACATCAGCAACATAGAGGTGAGGCCTATGTGACCAGCACCAAGGCTCGCCCAAATGAAAAAGGTGTGGAAGGAGTATGTCCTGGGTTCAGCAGTAGCAGTCATTTTTCTCCTTCATGGTAGCTGGTGCAGTTCTGTGTTTTTGACTTTCAGCCTGGGAACAGCACTGATAACACCAATGTTCTTAGTTGCTTCTTAGTAATGTTTACTCTGACCAAGGACTTTCTGAGTCTCATGCTCTGCCAGGGAAGAGGGGAAGCCGGGAGGAAGCAGAGACAGGACACCTGACCCAAACCAGCCAAAGGGGTATTCCATACCACAGCACTTCATGGTCAGTATATAAACTGGGGGCGGTTACCTGGAAGGGCTACATCACTGCTCGGGTCTGACTGGGTATCAGTTGGTGGGTGGTGAGTGGCTGTATTCTCTTCCCTTGTTATTTCCCTTATCATTATTATTATTGATGGTAGCAGCAGTGGTCTGTGTTACACCTTAGTTACTGGACTGTTTTTATCTCAACCTGTGGGAGTTAGATTCTTTCGATTCTTCACCCCATCGCTCCGGGAGCGAGGAGAGGAAGAGGGGAGAGTGAGCTAACGGCTGTGTGGTTTCTGAGATCCCAACTGGGATTAAACCATAACAAGGAATATTGGTGCTGTGCCACATTCCTCTTGCTATGCCTTTTACAGTCCTAGTGCCCCTGGAGCTATAGTCATTTTAGATATCTGAATGCTAACCCTAACCCTAATTTTAGGTGGCTCCCTATAGATGAGCTACATCACTTGCACCAAGTCTCTCCCAAATGAGAAAGGTGTGTAAAGAGTAGTATTGTTGCTGTGCCAAGCTCTTCCTGGAATGCCTTTTAAAGCCCAAGTGTCCCTGTAGCTATAGTGTTTCTGGATCTCTGAATGCTAACCCTAACTCTAATTTACATCGGCAACATGGAGGTGAGTCCTACATCCCTTGCACCATGGCTGGACCAAATAAGAAAGGTGTGAAAGGAGTGATATTGGTGCTGTGCTGTGCTCCTCTTGGCATGCCTTTTACAACCCCAGTGTCACTGAAGCTATAGTCTTTTTGGATCTCTGGACGCTAACCCTAACTCTAATCCTAATTTAAGACAGTACCCTAGAGATGAGGCCTACATCTCCAGCACCATGGCTGACCCAAATGAGAACGGTGTGGAACAAGTAATAGTGTCCTTGGAGCTGTAGTCTCAGGATCTTTCAAAGCTAACCATAACCCTAACCCTAATTTAAATCGGCACCATAGAGATGAGTCCTACATCCATAGCACCATAGGTTTCCCATATGAGAAAAGTGTGGAAGGAGTAATATTGGTGCTGTTCCAAGCTACCACTGGCACGCTTTTGGCAGCCACAGTGTCCACAGAGGTGTAGTCTTTGTGGATATCTGAACGCTAAGTGTAAGCCTAACCCTGATTTAAGCCCCCAGGCAAAGGATGAGACCTACAACCCCAGCACCATGCCTGGCCCGCTTGAAAAAGGTGTGGAAGGAGTAATATTGGTGATGTGGCAAGCTAGCATTGTCACGTCTTTTACAGCCACAGTGTCCCTGGAGCTACAGTCTTTGTAGAGATCTGAACATTAAGCCTAAACCCAAGCCTAATTTAAGCCCTCACCCAGCAGATGAGACCTACAAGACCAGCACCATTGCTGGCCCAAATGAAAAAGGTGTGGAAGGAGTAAAGTCAGTGCTGTGCCAAGCTCCCCTTGGCATACCTTTTACTGCCACAGTGTCCCTGGAGCTGTAATCTTTTTGGATCTCTAAATGCTAACGCTAACCCTACAACCTAATTTTAGTCGGCACCATAGAGATTAAATGTACATCAGCAGCACTGTGGCTGTGCCTGTTGGGAAACTTGTGGAAGGAGTGATGTTGTTGCCGTACCAAGCTCTTTTCGGCATTTCTTTTGAAGCACCTGATCCTTGAAGCCTTAGTCTTTGTGGATTTCTGAACACTAACCCTAAACCTAACCCTAATTTAAGACGCCACCCCAGACATAAGGCCTACATCCCAGTTGTGGAAGAAGTAATGTTATTGGTGTGCCAAGCTCCCCTTGACATGCCTTTTACAGCCCCACTGTGGCTGTAGCTATCGTCTTTATGGATCTCTGAACAAAAACCCTAAGGCTATCCTTATTTAAGATAGCACAATACAGATGATGCCTATATGCCCAACACAATGGCTAGGGTAGCTGGGAAAGTTGTGGAAGGAGTAATGTTGTTGCTGTGCCAAGCTCCTCTTGGCATGCCTTTTACAACCACAGTGTCCCTGGAGCTGTAGTCTTTGTGAATCTCTGAACTCTGTCATAGCCCTAACCCAAATTAACGCTGGCACCATAGAGATGAGGCCTACATCCCTAGAGCAATGGCTGGTTCAAATGGGAAAGACACAGAAGGAGCAGTATTGGTCCTGTGCCAAGCTCCCCTTGGCATACCTTTTACAGACCCAGTGTCCTTGGAGCTGTAGGGTTTGTGCATCTTCTTAGATGCACAAATTAGGCTAACCCTAATTTAACA